CGAGATGCTGATTTTGGAATAGTCGGTTTTCTATTCATTTCATCTCTAGTAGTAGAAACGGAGATTTCACAGATAAGGCTATAGTCCTGAATTTATGGCTTTTTTATCGCTCACCTTCACTAAAGCTGCATGCGGTCGAGCATTATCATGCATTAACACGAAGTCGTTCCCAATGGAGAGAATGGAATCACAGTTTCCAGAAGAACTTGATTAGTGCTTTATTCAGTACGATAATCAGTTCATATACATGACATGAACGTAGATTCCACCCATACCATAACTGAATTTGAAAAGGCTCGGTCATTAAGTCTCCGAGAAATCGTGTAAATAAGCGATCAAATTTTGTCTTGTGGAACAGAAACTCATTCTTCAACGAGATCAGTTTGAAGCTGTTCACTGCTTGGAGGGCGAACGATGCCTGGACCATCTCTTTCTTTATCATGGCCCATAAGTGTTGTACGGGATATATGTGGTAATCCCTTCATCCTCCAAGTAATGGGTGAAAACTCGAGCTTCATCATGCATTATCACGAAGTTGTCCCCAATGGAAAGCATGGGATCACAGTTTCCAAAAGAACTTGCCCAATCTACCTTAGTGCTTTATTCAGTATGATAATCAGTTCGGTAAAGAAATGAACGTACCCCGAATTCTACCCCATACCATAACTGACGTTGAAAGGCTGTGGCATGGTTCATGAAGCAAAACTGTTCTCCACGTCTTCTGCACACATACGCCATGTCTTCTGATTGCCAGAAACCAAACCGGGACTGATCTGTGAAGAGCCCCGTTGTTCAACTTACCAAGTGAGATGCTTTTTTGCGAATAGTCGCTTTTCTACTCGATGCATCTCCACTAGTCTAGAACCTTATGCGGGACGTCTAGAGACAAGGCTATTCTCACGAATTGATGACTGTTTTAGATCTCACCCTTACATTACAGAACCGTTTGGAGTTGACTTCCTATCAACGAAGTCATTAGATGATGGTTTCATAGTGCAGTAAGTGCCGTAGCCCATCACAAGATTTGGGCTATGTAACGGACTCGAGGCCAAAGCTTCTGCCCAGACTTGATCTTTTTTTGCTCAATTTTTTTTATTTTTAATCCAAAAGTAAAACTCTATAAAGATAACCAACAAGTTATCGTTGTGCTTACGTTTTAAGTAAACAATTAATCTTTATACTTAGTAATTATCGAAAATAAATAGAATTGATCGGTTTTGTTTTTCTCTTTGCGTGTATAAATTATAAAACCGATTTGTCTTGGAATTTCTTTGATTTGTCAGTTAAAAAAGTCAGTCTTTAATCTTAGCAATATCGTATAGTCAATGTCAATGAAAAACGGTCAAAGAACGCGAGCCTGCTGGCCGTGCCAAGCACAGTCAATTGAAATTACAACCAGAAAACAAATACCTAAATAAAGGAATAATTAAGAACGGTCAGATATATGAAAAGGTACTCACGATTATCTCCCTCGTGGCTGTACGCTGGCGATGTTGGGCCAGTAGCCGAGATCACTCTCTGACGATGACTGCTTCTGTTTGTGCAGATATGGGTTTGTAAAGGATGTTCGAAGAGGGGGAATGATAAGACCGAATATATCTAAAGCCTAGCTTATCGAATTTCAACCAAAATATTAATTTTTTTGTGTCTTTCAAAGTAAACTTTTAGGCCAGAGCTCTCAACTAGAACAAAAATTTTTTGACTTTTACTATTTGTGATTAATAACACTTATTTTTTGATAAAACTTAGTAAAACAAACATTTTCCCCATTAATTTGGGAAAGTCGTAGAAAAATTCTATTTAAGATTACAAGATTGTTTAATGTTTATAAACTTTAAAACTTAAAATAAATCTTTAAATACTTAACTTCCAAAGTACTTAAAATTATTCGTGTATTGTGTTGATTTTTTTTTTGGCTGCAAATTTACTTACTGACAGTTTCCGGTTTAGTACAAGAAACAATTCGTCATGCTGATGTGTTATTGCTGATTACTGGATGCTTTCTACAGTGGCATTTTGCGCAGTCGGTGGGATTGGACCGTAGGGTCGATGCCCTTAAAACCTTTTCAATGCGCCCCAAGAGGTTGTGGTCCGTCCTTTCGAAAGGGTCAAGTACAAAAAAGTCGATCAATTAAAAGAAAATAGTTCCTTTAGTTCGGCTCAATTATTATCCTCCGAGATGACAAATTTTATGAAGATTAGTGTGTGTGATTAGTAGGCTAAACCAGATGCCAACATGTCTCTCGCTTCCGGTCACACAAGAGAAAATACTCCGCATGAATTTTTGAACGTCCGATTATATTTAAAAAATGTTTTTATCCTACTGAAAACCTTTTATATAGATAGGGTTTTTTTTGACTAGTAAAATACCAAAATTCCAAGTTATAGACATCAAATTTTGGTACTACTGTAGTGCTGCGTTTAGAAATGACTTACCGCGGTGATGCAACATTTTCAATTGTTGGACTTAGGCCTTTCACCCCGAATGGTTGTCACTCCCCGATGTGCTGACCCTAAGGTCACCCGAGGGAGTTCACCTACACTGTTAAGTACGTGAAATTTTCAGGGTATAGTATACTGCGCCCTTTAAGAGCTATTGTACATAGCTTACATAAGCATTACATTGTACATAAGCACATCGGTGAGTCCTATTTCATCATGAAACTTGATTAATAGGCCCGGTTTCAGTGGTTGAAGCTCTTCTATGGTCACATTATACATCTTCCTTCTGCGGGGGGTGTAGCTCCGCAGTTGGTTAGTAGATATGTTGGGGTCTCTTTTGCCTCTTTGCAGAATCTGTATGTGCCGTCTTGGATTATTCCAATCTTCTTTAAGTGTCCATTTAACTTGCAGTCCCTATTAGGATTCGCAGTTTGTTCCTGCTTCCCTTGACACATTCTGTAATTTTTTTCTTCCAAAATTTGTTAGGAGATTTTTTGATTGTCTGGGTCCAATGAGTGAATTCCATTGTTCGTTCATTTTCTTTTTGTCCTTCAGTCTGAGATCCTCGTTAATAGTGTGGGTTCCTATGCCACATAAGGGTTCAGGTCCTGTCAGCGGTGTAGCAGCCCCTTGCCTTTCAAGGTTGTCCGCTTTCTCGTTGCCTTCTACTCCCATGTATCCTGGGACCCAGCAGAGGCTGACTTTATTCTGCATACCTAATATGTTTAATTTGGTTTTGCAGTTCAGCACCATCCTTGCACTAATGATATTTGAGCTTAGTTCTTTGATGGCTGCTTGACTATCTGTCATGGTGGTTTTTGTACCCGTTACTCAGGTTGAGTTGGGTACATCTTTCGATTGCGTGAATCTCAGCTTGGAAGATACTGGTGTATTTTCCCATGGGTTCTGAGTATTTGGTTCCAGGTTCAAATACTCCTGCCCCTACCCTGTTATGCGGCTGAAACGTTTTTTTCCCTCTTAAGCCAGATGATCAGAAGATCGTCGCTTCTCAACCACTAGGGTTAGACTCCTTTCGACAGCTAGTTCATTTCATCTCCAACGTATACAAACTTCTAGCCTAAAACATCTATAAGACAATCGCACTAATAAATACATTCACACCTATGTACATTGCACTTATTCTGGTTGGTCGGTTGAGTACTTGATGTTCCTCCATCGACCTGCACTCACAGACTGCTGGACGGGCGGTTGTGATGTATATTCCTTGATCAGCTTCTCATCACTCACTCTAATATCACACATCACTCACTCGCACACATACAAAACTCATAAAACAGATATATATATACTACTAAAAAAACTCACGTTCTCTAAAGAGCAGAACAGGAGACCCAGAAATTTACTACCGTGCTCAAGAACCATTTTTAAATTCGGCGGCGAGCCTTCACGCTCTCAGTAAGGACCCATCGAGCAAGATTTCTCTGCATAAGAGCCATCTGGGTAGGCTTTGGCTTCAATTTTTGTCAAATTCATTTGCCTATTAATTTAAATCTTTAAAGTTAACATTTATCTATTAAATTAAATATTTAGTTAAATATCTTCATTAGCAACCCTTAATACAACTTAGTCTTTTATCAAACCGACATTTCATTAGAAGTTCTGACAAAATGACATGACTTAATGACATTACTGAAAAAGTCGTAATTTGCCTGCTCTTTTAAATCACAAATCGGGAAAAGGTCTAATTGAAAAACACCTAATAATATTTATGGCACTAAAGGTGAAAGAATTTAGATATTCCGATGCTGAGACACCAAAAAATTAATTATGCAAGAAGGTAAAAAAAAATATAAGGGATAGAAATTCGGATTGATGGTTGTGGTTAGTTGTTGCTCCAATGGCCGCGAGAGATTCGTGCTTGGCTCAAGGGCGTGCCTCACCCTGCTTATAACCCTGGCTGTGGTATATGTACGTCAATGTCACATTTGTGTAAAGAGTTGTACTTTGTTATCTTAAAGGATTTGAATTTATGATACATTAACAAGGTTGGAAATCGTATCACTTTCAGATTATTGAGCTAATTGGTACTTAAAAGTAACTACAAAATTTGAAGATCAAAGAAGAATCATATACATGGGCTAAGCATATTAGTACCCGAAAGCAAAGGATTGGTTCGAGAAAATATCCCGATATGATCAACTGGAACAAAATATTGGTTAATACGTTCGCATTTTATAACACGTCATGCCTCGCCCTGCTTATATCCTTGTCTGTAGTATTTGACATGTTTTCCACATTTTTTAAAAGGCTCACATTGAAAACATGTTTTTTGTTGGAAGGTTGGCAAAATATACTGATTTTATCAACTGGAACAAGGTCATACCTCACCCTGCTTATTTCCCTAACCATGGTGACTTTAGCGTCGTATCTTTTTGAAGGTTGACACTTGGAAAACTTAAGGGATTCACTTCAAAAGGCTAAACATTTTAGCACCACTGGAGGTTGGTGCACGTTAAAAAATTACGATTTGTCGCATCGAGACTAGTCGTAACATCAGCTAACCTTTTACATTCCACGCAGCAAAATAAAAATATGAATAAATCAACAATTTTTTTCAACTGTTTTATTGTTGGGAGTGTTTTGTATATGTAAAAAAAATATATAATGTGCCCAATTTTTTAATCGACAATGCAAGGCCCAGTCTCCATCCTGTACGACATCAGCTTGTGGATGACGTGCATATGCAGATAGCTTCCGAGAACTGTACACACATGCATCAGTTGATGACTCTGAAACTGGAAAACAGCAATTATCTTTTTTCAATGGCAAAGCGAATCATAGCTTAATTTGTTCGAAATCTTAAAATCTGGTTAAATTAGCATCCCTGTAATGGCTATTTCTTAATTTTCAAAGTATTTTCAGTATTACGGACCTCTTTGTTTACTTTTAACATAAAAATCTATTGTTGTTGTATAAGTTGGGAACCGAACCCGTGACTAGGACAGACATACATTTAGCTAACAATTTACTACCAGGTTTTTCTGTTCCTAACGGTCTTACCTCCTCTTGCCACGAGTATGATTGAGGTTTTAAGTCTCCTAGAAATCGAATAAATAAGCGATCAGATTTGGTCTTGTGGAACAGAAGCTCATTCTTCAACAAGATCAGTTTGAAGCTGTTCAATGTTTGGAGGGCGAACCCATCTCTTTAACATGTACCATAAGTGTTCTATGGGATTATGTGAAGAGACTTGCTGGCCAATTCGTTGTGGTAATCCTCCAAGTAACATCTTCCAAGTAATGGGTGAAAACTCGAGCAACATGCGATCATGCATTATCACGATGTTGTCCCCAATGGAGAGCTTGGGATCACAGTTTCTAGAGGAACTTGCGCAATGTACCTTAGTGCTTTATTCAGTATGATAATCAGTTCGGTAAGGACATGAACGTAGATTCCACCATGTACCTTAACTGGAGTTGAAAAGGCTGTGGCGCGCATTGTACATGAAGCAAGATCGTTCTCTACGTCTTCTGCACACATACGCCCTATCATCTGATTGCCACAAACCAAACCGACGTGGTCTCTGTGAAGAGATGAGCCCCCATTGTTCAAGTTACCAAGCGAGATTCTGATTTGCACGAATAGTCGCTTTTCTACTCGTTGCATCTCCAGTAGTAGAAACGGAGATGTCTAGAGACAATGAATTTATGACTGTTTTAGAGCTCACCCTTACATTACAGAACCGTTTCGAGTTGGCTTCCTATCAAGGAAGTCATTAAAGCTACATGCGGTTGAGCACTATCACGAAGTTGTCCCCAATGGCGAGAATGGGATCACAGCTTCTAGAAGAACTTGAACTCATTGTACTTCAATGCAGATTTATTCTGTATGATAATCCATTCAGGACGGACATGGACGTAGATTCCACCCCAAGTCGTAACTGAAGTTGAAATGGCTATGACACGCATGGTACACGAAGGAAAATCCTTCTTCACACTTAGTCCCTGTCACCTGATTGCCAGAACCAAACCGGCACTGTCTCTGTGAAGACATTCCCCATCGTTCAAGTTACCAAGCGAGATTCTGATTAGCAAATAGTCGCTTTTCTACTCGATGCATCTCCAGTAGTCGAGAAGCTGATGCGGTACGTCTAGAGACAAGTCTATTCTCACAATTTGATGGCTGTTTTCGAGTTCACCCTTGCATTACGAAACGTTTTGAGTTGACTACCTATCTAGGAAATCGTTCTTTAGTGCGGTAAGTACAAAAAAACGATGTTCTCTAGTGCCGTACATGCGGTCGACCTCCTCTTCGATGGAGACTTTCCGTGGCCCTAAACCGCTGTGGAATATCGATTGTAAAGCGCGGCACACCCAGGGCTGAGGCTATGTTACGCTACGTCGTTGGCCAAAGCATCTGCCCGGGCGAAAATTTGCTTATGTATTGTAAGTTCGAAAAATTCAGAGGGTAAAACTTAGAAACGAACCCAGAACCTCTTTCTGTTAAGGACATAGCCATGAAGAACCACTATGGCTCCAAAAATTAAGTGCATATGGAGCAAATCAACTTACGAATATGTCGAAGTAGCCAGGTCGATAACGCTCAGGAAACCTAGACGTATACAATGTAGCACCGACAAAATAGACGCTGAACATTAGCATGAGCCATCCCAGTGCTGCCTGGTTGTAGGCAAGCTGGAGGCCATCGAGGTAGACTAAATGGATCGCCGGGATTATTGAAAAGACGGCGAAACAACCGAAAATACCTGAAAGAAAGAAAATTATTTGTCAACCGAGATGAAACCGTAACTTGGCAAACCTGATCTGAAACCCCGAGAATCCGCCTCGCCGAATCTGTCGTACAGGGAGCAAAGGGCGATGAGCACGCTCGAGAGGAGAAGTGTCGCCACATACGTGTTCCTGATGCGTTTGCGGCAGTAGAAGGAGTAGTAGATCCACGGGATATGGGAGCAAGTGATCAGTATGTTTATCCCGATATAATCCAATCTGGAATTGACATCGAATATAAAGAGACCGTTGTTCTTCTTTCAATGGTTTACCTTGCAAACGCGTTCACCAACGCTTCAGAATGGCACATCAGTGTGTGGTACAGTGTTGATAGGAAAAAGCACAGAATCGCGCCGACGAAGAAGAACATTATGGCCAGATAGTCGAGGAACGGGATGATCCCCAAATACTGATAGGCGAAGCCGACTAGGTACACAGAAAACATCAAGGTGCCTGCAGACGAACCGTTGTCATTGCAATCGAAACAGAAAATGTCAACTTTTACCGATCAAGTGAGTCCAAATATTGCCGGTCTCGTTGTGCCTGCTGAATATGGTCTTGAAGCAGGCGACGACCGATTTGATCTGGTGCCTGTAGCCGTGTCGGACGTACTCGTTGCTCCGTAACCATTCCGGCAGCTCTTCGTACCCAAACGGTTGTTTGAATTCAGTAAAAACCTAGAAAATTAAAAACAATTCAAATGGACTAAATTTATCACATCCTGCGACCAATTTGTTTACAAAACTCTTTTGAGTTAAAATACTCACCGTCTACTAAAGCCAAAATTGATAATATGAAGACTTTTGACAAAATCATCGATTATCTAGGGCAATTTGTGAGTTTAATTTTTTAAAAAGACCTAAATGCCATTTAAAACACTTGGGGTCGAAAATTCAATAAACAAATACTGGTAAATAATCAATACTCATAGTGACCCTTTATGGGGGAGTCCGTCTTCACTCGCAGGGTTTGTCCGTTTTATACCTACCCTTTAAGAAACAATTCCTGTCTGCCTGAGTTACAGTCGATGAGTGTTAATCTGCGAGTTGGTGAAATCATGCCGAAGCAGCATAGAATACTTATTGACTCCTTCTTCCCAAGTGTTCAGCACGACTTCACCGATTCGCAGACCAACACCCATCATCAATTCTGAAATCAGTATTGATAGAGTTTAAAATACAAATTTTAATAAGAATTTGTATAGTAAAACTTTTATTTAACAAGTCATGCTTCAGCATAATATTGTTCTCTGGATCAGGCATTCTCGTTGATTAGGTTTTTAATGTTTTCTTATAGATGCTTACAAAGCGTGCTTTTGTACTTAGTAGTTATGTACTTAGATGCCGACAAATGTCATTTCTTTGCTTAACTGTTATATATGTTTAATCGTTTCTAGGACCCCACCGTCAACCTTCCTTTTATCCTTTGCCCAAGATATAACCACTATCCTCTGATCCCGATCCAGCAATTGCTTCCGAGGAGCTCCAGGCACTTCCAACGAATAGCCAAAACTTTACCGAACAAAGATTAATGCAATCAAATGCGCCCACTACCATTTTTAACCTCTGAAGCACCATACACAGTAATCCTCAACATTTCTAAACCGTACTGCATCCGCTACGTTAGGTTCTATCTCGATTCAAATTTAAACCGGAACCGACTTACACATGTATTAGACAGAAATAAAGCAGACGCTTTCGACAACTCTAAAAACTACTTGCAAATCTGAAGATCTACAAAACACTACCGGAACCGATTTGGACATATAGACTAGGGTGGACAAAGGGACTGTTCAACGAGAGAAATATACAGACTGTTATTGAACAATCTGAAAAGTTCATAGTTCTTGAGTTAAACAAACGCGTTTTTCCGTATATATGAAAATATTGTTCAACGATCAACAAAGCCTGAAGCTGCAAAAAGTACCCGAGAAAACATGCAGACATTGGTTGAATATTGGGAGAAAGTTCATTATTCTGGAGTTAAATGAACGTGTTGCGGATTTGGTGACGTGATAATACTGGAATGATTTAGGTCAGCTAACTGGACATTGCAGACTCCAGAGATTTACATAAAGACTCGGAGCAGCAGAAACAAGAAGAAACAGCGGAACATGACCTCGGTGCGGAGGCCTGTGCGGGTTGAGATTCTACTCCTAGGAGAGGGAAATTCATGATGTGAAGGATACGGCAACCATTCACAAAGATTTGGGTTCTTTTCAAAAGTCTTAAGTTTCCCGAAGATCATTCTCGACTACTAATAACCTATAATCTATAACTTCAGTAAAATTAAGATACACACGAGAGCTCTTCTCAAAGCTTTTGGATCTGTTCAAAAGTCTTAAGCTTCACGAAGATCATTCTCGGCTCCTAATAACCTACAATCTACAACTTCAGGAAAATTAAGAATAGGATCATAAAACATGTACTCTGTTCGTGCGATGCCAGAAGAAATACACACGAGATCTCTTCGCAAAGCTTTGGATCTGTTCGTAAGTCTTAAGCGTCAAGAAGATAGATCATTATTGACTCCTGCTAACCTATAAACTATAACTTCAGGAATGTTAAGAATGGGATCATAAAACATGTACTCTGTTCGTGCAATGCCAGAAGAAATACACACGAGATCTCTTCGCAAAGCTTTGGGATCTGTTCGAAAGTCTTAAGCTTCACGAAGATTATTCTCGACTTCTAATAACCTATAATCTACAACTTGAGGCAAATTAAGAATGGGATCATAAAGCATGTACCTAGTTGGTGCAGTGACCTAAAAAATACACACGAGAGCCCTTCACAAAGTTTTGGTATCTGTTCGAAAGTCTTAAACTTCAAGAAGATAGGTCATTCTTCACTCCTGATAACCTATAATCTATATCATCAGGAAAATTAAGTTTGGGCTCATAAAGCATATACCCTGTTGATACAATGGCCTGAAGGATACACACGAGAGCTCTTCTCAAAGCTTTGGGATCTGTTCGAAAGTCTTAAGCTTCACGAAGATCATTCTCGACTCCTAATAACCTATAATCTTTAACTTGAAGAAAATTAAGAATGGGATCATAAAACATGTACTCTGTTGGTGCAATAGCCAGAGGAAATACACACGAGATCTCTTCGCAAAGCTTTGGATCTGTTCGAAAGTCTTAAGCTTCACGAAGATCATTCTCGACTCCTAATAACCTATAATCTATAACTTCAGGAAACTTAAGAATGGGATCATAAAGCACGACCTAGTTGGTACAGTGGCCTGAAACATACACACGAGAGCTCTTCACAGTGCTTTGGGGGGTTCGAAAGTCTTAAGCTTCACGAAGATCATTCTCGACTCCTAATAACCTATAATCTATAACTTCAGGAAAATTAAGAATGGGATCATAAAGCACGTACCTAGTTGGTACAGTGGCCTGAAACATACACACGAGAGCTCTTCACAGTGCTTTGGGGGGTTCGAAAGTCTTAAGCTTCACCAAGATCATTCTCGACTCCTAATTACCTATAATCTATAACTTGAGGAAAATTAAGAATGGGATCATAAAACATGTACTCTGTTGGTTCAATGCCAGAAGAAATACACACTAGATCTCTTCGCAAAGCTTTGGATCTGTTCGTAAGTCTTAAGCGTCAAGAAGATAGATCATTATTGACTCCTGCTAACCTATAAACTATAACTTCAGGAATGTTAAGAATGGGATCATAAAACATGTACTCTGTTGGTGCATTGGGTTGAAGGATACACACAAGAGCCCTTCACCAAGCTTTGGGATCTAATAAGATTGCACAATAGACCAATATTGTTCGTAATGAGGCCGACTCCTTTTAACATTCATCCTTTAACCCTTTAGACCGATCCATAGATAGTCAGGCCTTGGGTAAAATATAAATGGATTTAAACCAATAATTTCTGATTCATGTAACACCGCTGTTTATCGATCAGATCGACCATCGTCCATGAAAATCATCCAACAAAAAATTTAAAATAATAAATTCTATGAAATTTGTATGAAGTACTACAAGAAGCTATTTTGTTTGTGGTTTTTTGTAAACAATTTGGATCCTAGGTTTTTCTTTTTAACGACTCTTACCTCTTCAGATAAATCGTTCAAGGAGTCCTGTTCGACGACCTCCTTAATAGAGGGTTTACTCTGTATATTTAAATCGTCTGTATCTTTAGTCTGCTCCCTCTCCTCTGTGGTCCGCGCCTTTTCGCTCTCTCCCTTCACGGCTAGTGCTAAACTTTCGATTATTCCTTTCGTTACATCATTGCCGGGCATTTTCTCGCAAGAAACTGTAAAAGAAAAAGACGCGTCACTTGACGATATAGCATATTTCACTCCCGGCAGGGCCGTCGGACTTGTCAAGTCCGACAAACGGTTTGAAGGATTGTGCTTATGAACTTATTAGCCGAGCCCCCACTTTTAGTGATGAGCAATTGCAGAACTAGACCCCATTTGCAGATAATGATGGGAATCTGGGGCCCGCCTAGAAAACTTCAAAAAACGACGGCGTGAAAAACGCCAACAATAAATCAATAAAGCTACTCACTCGTTCTTGGGAATAAAGGGGACACTCTTCATTTCCGATGCCAGTTCGTTTAATTCGCCGGCTTATGTGTGTGTTGTGTAAAATTACTAATATCTTCAATTTTGTCCGACCTCGGTGATTGTATTGTCGTCTGAGCCCACATGATTTTCATAAATGTTCAAGGAGCTCATTTATTCAAACAAACGATTAAAAATTAGAAATATCGTATATTTCTCTGTAAGGGAGAGCAGGTGGATCTGTCTTGCCGGATTCATGCATCATCCCATAGATGATCGACAATTGATTGGATACAAATTACACTGTACCATTGTTTGTCGCGTTTCTGACATACATGTTGAATGCATGCTCAATAAAAATTCTGTGTCATTTGTATCCAATCCTTAAAATCCCGGCGTACGCGAAAGAATACGTCAATCTGAAGTAATTGTCCCGATTTGGACGATTGTAAGGCGAAAATTTTGAAAATTTCAAACATATGACCTATTTCACTGTAACAAAGCTGACAAGTAAAAGTGTAACCTTGAAAAAAACAACTTTAAAGAGATTTTTTCTCTAAAAAAGGTCTTTCAGAACAATTCTCAAGCTAGAAAACCAAAAATTGGAAAGGTTGGTGGTGTAGGTTAGATGTACAAGAGGATGAAATGCATGAAATCACTTTCTGTGGCCCTTCTATTCTTCCTGGATCTTATAAGTGTTTTTGTTTCACGCCTTTTTCATTCTTTAAACAACTTCTTTTCCTTTACTCCCTCACTGATGATGGCGTAAAGCCAAAACGGTTACTAGTGAAACATGAAATCAGTGAGAACAAACACAAATCAGTGACGATTAGTTCACCAGTAAAAAAGTTACATTGTAAAAATTTGGTTTGACCCAAACCAACAGAGCAAAATGCAATAAATGATGATCACAGATCTGAATGGGAAAAAAACTAACATTAATCGTTAAAATACAAAGTGGCAATAAACAAGAATAAAAATCTCAAGTTTGTATCAATTTTAAGCTAATGCAGAGAAGAAAATGTTGGCAAACAAACAATAAGCAAAGCACACCTAATAAATGTGAAAATATAAAAAAAAAGTTGCAAGACAATGTAAATAAAAAGCACAAACTTATAAAAACTTGAGAAGAATGTAGTGTCATTGGAGGTAAATGCAACAGAGCAAAGCACAACTTGTAAATATGATGACGGCAGATCTGTACAAATAAACTAAATACATATAATGAACTATATGGGGCAGAAACCATGATAAAAAAAAGCACAAGGTTTAGAAATATTTACTATATAAACTAATCAAGAGAGAAATAGTGGCAAATAAACCAACAGTGTAAAGCATACCTCGTAACAGCAATAAACACAGGTCTATACAAAGAAACTTATTGTGATGTTTGTATCAGTCCTGGCCAGCATACAAAGTTTTTTTTTTATGCCAACAACCATCGACTGATATTCCCATCACACACCGATAACACAATTATAATTCAACGGAAATCAAAAGTTACAAAGAAACTAATGTTAAAATTATGCTAAGGTCTACTGTGGAACTCTAACTGGATGAACTATGATTATGACCATACTGTCAAATGTGAACTATTTCCTTTAAATCTAAGTCAACCTTCTTCATCTCTTTATGCTTATTTTGGTGGTAGAACAGCCAAAGTGGCTACCCGTATATCCTCAAATTCACAAAGGATATGTGCTGAGTCTGGTTTCTCTTGACTGATATGTTTCTGCCTCTGCTTTGCCCATCTTCTTTACGTGGTTGTTAAGGGGTCAGTGGTTGGTACACAGGCCTATAATTTTTTTTTTCAAATCTTGCCTGTGAGAGAGGAGTTCTTTTGTCTTTCTTTTTTAGACATTTATTCATTCTTTTATACAATGCTTGAGTTTTTCTTTTTCTCTTCGCTGAGGCTTATTAGATTAGAGGGCTGCCTTCTCTTGGGCTAGTCGGTCTTGTCTTTTTTCTCCTAGATTTTGGTGTGTTTTCCTAGAGCCGTTAACCATTACTGGGTGGTGGAGTAATCGATATTCCTTCATTGCCCTTTACACCTATAATACAACTAACCTAACTGAGGATCGATGGGGTACTCAAGCTTACACTACCCATTCACGCTAATAAATACATTCACTCTCACACACTAGGTACACAAAACTCTTAATACTCTATTCAACAGGACAACTTCAAAAATTGGAACAGGGGGCCCAGATACTTGCTGCCATGCTCAAGTGCAATTCTCATATCACCCTTATCCTTCAGAATTTCATGGACAAGACTTTGGAATTTGCTTCCCTGGGAAGAACGTTGTATTTGTAACGCTGGCTTGTTTCAGGCATGGGATCTGAGTTTTTAAAAACGACTTGAATCAAGTCTTTCTTTTACCTTTTTACTTTTATCTTCTTTCTGTTTTTCTTTCTTAACGTGGTTTCATCGTTCAATTATAAGTTTGGATTTACATAAGCTCAAATCTGCACTGGTAAATACACACATATACTTAGCAGAGCCTATCTTGTTTTCTCGCAGTCCACTGCCAATCCCAGCTTTTGTAGTTTATAATAAATTACAAGAAAGTCTCGAGAATGACCCACCTTGAGTGTTGGCAGTCTGCTGTCGGACTTTGGTTTTATCCATCCAGCCACCAAAGTTGAACTCCAGGTGCTGTCAGCAGCCAGGTCAATTCATTACCCAAGCCATGCAGTTCCTAGATCCAAACCCATTCTCACTCTCATTCATTCTTAAATAGATTCTTGCAGATTTACATACTATTCATTCAATTAGGGGTTGGTAGCACTTGATATGCTTCTCTCATCCTTTTAACCTATTATTATATTTATATACTTTTTGCGTCTTCTAACTGTCCATCTATTAAAGAACTGAATCATAAAGAAGTTAACCATAACAATATTCAATACAATTTTTTTCTGTTACTTGGTATTTCCATGATTTTAATACTCAATCCTAGGTTGACACATGGGCACCTGCTTTTGGGCCAAAGCCCGCGCAGGTGCCCCTTATGCAGAGAAAGGTTGTTCAATGTGTCATGCACCTTTCTCGACATAATAGAGGTGTGTCATGCCTTGACTCCATACAGAGAGCATGTAGGCATGCCGCCGTACTTAAGAAGAGTTTTCGAACACTGTAGTGAGTTTCAGAGTCCCCTGTTTCGCTTTTTAGGGGAAATTGAGGTTTTTTATTGAATATAATATGTCTTATGTGTTGTGTGTCTATGTTTTGTCATAGTGGATGTATTTATTAGCGTGAATGGGTGAGGGTGAAATATGACGTCATCATCGCCCCTCGAATGTTGAAAGCGTATGAATGTGTGTTCGGGGTTGATGGCGGAATATTTATAAAAGTACTTCATCGACCCCAATGTAGATTAGTTTGGGTACAGGTTGGTGGTGGAATATCAAGTACTCCACCGACCAAACTGAGTGTACTGTGTGAATGTATTTATGTGTATGAATGTAGTGTTTGAAAGGGTAAATAGAATATAGACTTAGTTGGGGCTGAAATGACCTAGATGTCGGAAGCCCGTAAAAAAAAAACTGAATCATAGAGAGGTGCAACAGTTTAGGCTTCAATGCAGCTTCAACATCACTGTAAGATAAAGGTCCTGGGTTCAAACCCAACATACTTCACCTACTTACCTTTTTTCAAAACACTGACATCCTGGGGGTTATGAACTCTGCTGTTGCAACCCTCCCCCCCCCAAAAAAAAAAATTATAGTTTAAATTTGGTCAAAAAAGGTTTAATTCAGTTAAAAAAAGGTTTGATTTGGTAGAAAAAAAGGGTTAATTTGACTAAAAATGCTATATATAACTAAATTAATTAAGGATTAAACACATTCACGCTAATAAATACACTTACTCCCAACAAAGTCTAGCTACACAACAATATCAGATCTATATACAATAAAACAACCGTTTCCTCCAAGAATCGCGAACAGGGGAACCAGATACTCACTGCCATACTCAAGAAAAATTCTCATGTAGGGTGGCATGCCTACCTGCTCTCTTTATTGAGCCAACGGATTGTATCTTCACCTATGAAATGGTTTCATCTGTTTTTGTCATTTATATGTCATTTACATTCAGCAGCACTTTTCAAAAGTTTACAAAAAGCACTAGAACATAGAACTGATCTAAAGTTTGAAATTATTAAAGTTTAAAAACATTGGAGTTAGTATTTCTCTGAGTTGCCAGAATGATTTTAATGGCAAAATTCTGTGCTTTGAATACTAATCTAGTAAAATTTACATAAATTGCCCCAACAATCTCCTTCCATTTATATATTTATTAAAATTTATACAGTGAAAAAAGTGATTATTTTTGTTGATAAATTATCAGTATTGCATAAATTAATTAAGCAAGGCAAGTGATACAAATAAGCAAGAATATTTCTCAACGAGTACCTTGTTAAAACATTTGTAACTACTCTCCAGTGCCATTATTCCAGTCTTTCGCTCCCATCTGCTCTCGAATCCCATGTGTTAACAATCAGAACGAATGTCAATTTATACTCATGTTTAAACACTGGCACAAAACGTATTAATGAAAACAGCAGGCTTTCGACCCCGACATGTGCTTCTCGGTTCAGCCGGCCGGTGTGTTCACAAGAGGAAGTTCGCAATTTAACAAATTATACTTCATTTTTATAATAAGATGCTGTAATATTTGCAGGCAGCCCGTGTTAGACACCGTTCTCCTCCTCGAGATGTTCGGGAAGTTAATGAGCCGAAAAGGCTGGATGCAATGTCAATTTAATATTCCATTCATGTAATAAACTGTTTCCTAAGGCCAACTCAATGAACAAAATGAACAATACAAAATCAACACTAGTTCTCATTGGTACAATTGGATCTTTTGAAATAATTTTTTTTTTAACAAATACTCATAAGCACTTTATTAACTTGTTTTAAACATTCTATTAAATAATTAAAATGTTGGTTATTAAATATTAAAAATATTACATAGACTTGAACACTAGTCAAACTTAGAGATCACCAGTATACCTAATGAATAAATATAAAACAGTTTCATTGCTTTTGCAAGCTATAAACATTTGTTAAAATCTACCTTTTAGTTTAATTTAAAAAATTAATTGTAATTGTTGCAAAGTAAAAAAAAATTCTAAACTTGCAGACAAAGGGTCTAACCTTTTTACGTTTTACATATTTTTACTAAAAAGTTCATGGGCTGTACCACTAATGTTCTGGGGGAAGGTGGGTCGGTTGGTGCTGTCTTGTGGGTGTGGTAGGTCGAGCTTCCTGAGTGCGATCAGCTGGTTGTTGTTGGACACAAAGGTCTGGTGGGTAAATAATAGGTGGACAAGCAAAAGCTCTTAACCACCATGATCCAACAACACCCTGACATTAAAAATGCAATTTAAAAAAAAAAACCAAAGAAAAAGTCAATGTCTCATATCAACAGCACTTTCAATAGGTGCTCCTTGAAGGACGTGACTCATAGGCCATCCTTACCCGATTAAAGAAAGGCGAGGATGACAGACCCTTACTTTTGGCCCAAAGCCAATGTGTGTCCAACAAGAAGAGAAAAATTCCCTGATGTGTTCTATCTAATTGAAGCGTACAACTCCTCAGGTCTAAATAGAGAGCATGTTGGAATACTAACCTGTACGATAATTGTGGTTGAGCATAGCAGCGAGTGTCTTGTTCTCCTGTTTGCGATTCTTGGAGGAATTGGTTTGTTGTATATTGTTTTGTTCTAAAGCCTTCAATTCTCTCCTCTCTAAACTCAAATCTTTTTCCTTCTCCGCCAGCACCATCCATTAGTCCCACTCCTACCTTACCAATTGCCACCAAGCTTTCTCCCTTCCCAATGGCCTTACCTCCTCCTTCCTCCCTCTAAAATCTGGGGTGCCCCAAGGTTCTAGTATCTCTCCTATCCTTTTTTCCATTTATATCAATGATCTGCCCGACTCCATCCAGTCCTGTAACTATCACCTATTTGCAGATGACTCCCAAATATCCTTCCACCCTTCCGATCTTCACTCGGCCATTCTCAAAATCCAAAAAGACCTAAACTCCATCAACAAATGGGCCCATAAAAATTCCCTAGTCCTCAATCCGTCCAAATCCACCGCCATAATTATCGGGTCCAGGCAACTCAATTCCCTCCCCAGCATCCCACCTCTCTTGCTAAATAACCAACCCATCCCCTTCTGCTCTTCGGTTAAAAACCTAGGAGTAGTCTTTGACCAAAACCTTTCCTGGCTTTCTCACATTTCCCGCCATTCCATTGCCTCCCTCAGCCTGTTTCGTCGGTCCTGGCTTCTCTTACCTTTCTCCACCGCAAACTCCTTGAATCTTCCCTTATACTTCCCTTCTTCTATTATTGCTGTTTGGCATACGGTGGTCTCTCGGAGTGGTAGAACGCGCGATTGAAGTGTGTTATGAATTGTTGCATAAGATTTGTGTACGGCACCCCACGGGGATCCTGGGTGTCAGGGTTGTATTCCCAACTTTCCTGGCTATTCCCCTCCTTCCGTACACAGCATTTCGTAAGTTGCTTTCTTTTCCAGTCCATCCACACTCGTCGTCCTCCTTACAACATCAAATTCCTCCAATTCAACTCCTCACATCTCACTAGTAAGACCCGCTCATCCCCAATCAACCTTATCCTTCCGCAATATAACCCATACCTTCGAAAGATCCTTTCTGATCAGAGCCCCTAAACTCTGGAACTCCCTTCCCCTTCCCGCTGCCTCCTTTCAATCCCGCCTGTATAATCACTCCTCTCCCTCCAAGCATTGACCTCACATTAACATTTGTTATTTTTGTTTAATATTCTCGTAATTTTCTCTTCTGGCCTGCCTTACTCATTGCCAAGATTTCTATTTTTTTTTACTTTTAACTTCATAGAAGGAACTTCCTTTATTTATTTCATGTAAATTATTCTTAGGGGACACCAGTCCCAGAATAAAGTTATTTTTCTTCTTCTATATAGTGCTGATATTGTTGTATAGCTAGCTTATGTTGGGAGTAAATGTATTTATTAGCGTGAATGTGTTTAATCCTCAATTAGTTTAGTTATATATAGCATTTTTAGTCAAATTAAACCTTTTTCAATAAATGTGTGACTGTTAGTCGATGATTATTCAGAAATCGTGAGATGCGGTCTGGTGTGGTGTAGGTTTCAGAAAAACATTTTCTTTATTGTGCCGTTTCGATCTTTATTTTGATCATCTTCAGGGCCTGGGATTTACATACATTGTTTAAATTTAACAAATACATGTAGGATGTGGGAAAAAAATACTTTATACAAAAATGTCTTTTCTATACCGACTTCCTTCCCCACCCTTTCAAAATCCAACGTATATAACACAAAACAGCAAAATCTCACTGGCACTCTCAACACGACAACCAAGAATGGCACAATTACACAGAAAACAAAGACTTTGAGTGAGTAGAAATACTTTGATTGAATATAAAAAATATATTTTGCATTGTATAAATTCACTTTTTTCCACATCCTACATTTATTTGTTAAATTTAAACAATGTTTGTAAATCCCAGGCGCTGAAGACGATCTCAATAAAGATTGAAACGTTGGCACGATAAAGAAAATGTTTTTCTAAAACCTACATCACACCAGACCGAATCTCACGATTTCTGAATAATCTTTTTCAATAAAATTCAATCTTTTTTAAACAGATTTAAATTTTTTTTTCTTTTTGAGGGGGGTTGCAACAGCAGAGTTCATATTGACCTGAGGGGGGTCAGTTTTTGAAGAAAGAAAAAAAAACCTCATCTGTAAGTATGTCGGGTTCGAACCCGGGACCTTTATCTTATCAAGTAACTGAAAAAAAAAGTATCAATATTGTTGATTAACTTCTTTATGATTCAGTTCTTTAATAGATGTACAGTTCAAAGACCCAAAAAATATATAAATATAATAATAGCTGAATAATATAATAGGTGCAAAGGGTGATAGAGAACTCCCCAACTCAAAGGGAGTGAATGGTATGTAAATCAGCAAGAATGTGTGCAAGAATGAAAGAGCGTGAATGGGTTTGGATCTAGGAACTGCATGTGTTGGGTGCTGAATTGACCTAGCAGTTGAAAAAAAATCAATCGGGCGGAATTTTTTGCCTATCAGTGTACTTTATTGTATCGGTAAGGAGGAAAAAATTCCAGAAGATGAGCATAGTTGGAGGACACGTATGTAATATAAATTTCAAATATTTTATTTATCATTACAATGTACAAATATTCCAACATTACAAAATAAACACAAAAAATACTTAACAAAACTCTTTAATTAAGTATCAATTTAATAAGAACAAATTAATAAACTTTTGTTTTAACAGTTTCACTTTTTTTTTATAATTTATAAATACGCGATGAATTTTGAACAATACGAAATTTAAATATGCATTTATCGTTTCTTTTTTTTTAAGTAAATAAAAGTGTACGCCTTAAAAGATAAAATAAAAAAGAAAAATGTATAAAAAGTTTCAGGGTTCTGTTCATTTTTACGCTGGTTTTTCGACCGTTGTCTGCAGCCGATTTATACAGTACAAACATTAAAATAAAAATATCCCGCACATAAGAAGTTTCAATTTATGTGAAATTGTAACAATTAATTTAAAATTGTTTAAGAAGAAAAAAAAGTTACATAAAAATCTACAGTCTTGAAATGATACAAAATTATTCCTGAACCCCGAGGACTTGGTCGGATGACTCTACGATCAGCATGATCGACGAACTCTGGTCGTTGGTCGCACTCCTGACACACTCGACCTGGTGGCTACCCCAGTCTTTCCTCTGGCAGAACGCCGAGCAGTACGGCGTCCTTCGACACAAAGAGCACTCAGCGAAGGCATCACGGTTACAGTTGGCACACTGAAAAAAAATCAACCAAATTAATCCGAACAATAATTTTAATTTTTTTTATTCAAAATACTTTTTTATTGTCCGAGCTGTCATCCGTGGGCTGTAGGCCGACAGTTGTTATAGACGGATCAACCACGTGTACCGTCGAATCAAAAACACTATAATTAAAGTTCAGTTATGTTTTGTTTTATTTTAAGAAACATTTCAAAAGAATTATCAGCTAACCGTGAACATGCAACTTGGGCTTCGACTCTTGCAGTAAGAACTGCCTGTTCCTTTTCTCTTTTATGGTCAGAAAGCATTTGCTCCTTCTCCGCTTTCCACTGCGATTTCACATCATCGACTTCTTTTCTTAAGCTGAATACCAGTTTCATTAATTTACTAGTCATCTACAAATATTATTCCTTTAAATTATCACGCTTTATTTGTTATATTAAACAAAGATACCTTATCGAGCCTATTAAGGGTTTCGGTTATATTGGATGAACCGTTTGTCGAATCATCCAATTCTGTTTTTGAAACGACATTACCCGCCGAATTGGAGTTATTCGCCGACTTGGTCGGTTGTTCTATATCTAAGGGAAAAATTATAAAATTAAATCAGTTCATCAAGGGTGGAGTAGGGGGTCTTAATCACCTGAATCGTAACTCTCTTCCCCGTTTGTGGAGTTGCCATTATTGCTTAATTCTATTTTTGTCTTCCTCGAATCATCGTCATTTTGTTCCCTTTTTCTTTTTCTCCTGTAAGGTGAAAATAGTCTAACTGGACCGACCTAAAATTAAATTAATATATTTACTTGAACAGCTTAGTCGCTCAATAATTTTACTTTAACATTTGCATCGCCATCAGTGAAAAAGCAAGGAGAACCACCATGGCGGGAAACCCAATATTTTTAACTAAAAAAACTACAACAAAACTTTTTTTGGCTTATGTTTATTTATTTAGTACAATGAGACATTGTAGATATCTCATTTAGAAATGAAACGGAAAAAATTCAGCGATGAAGTTAAGGAGGGGTGAAACAGAGTAGCCCACCAGAAAACTGATCGATTATAGTGAAAAGTCGAAGTGTAAGAGACAGAGGACAGCGTGGTGAGCGACTCATGCCACGCCGGGACGATCGAGAGGAGAGGGGCTGGCCAGCGAGGACAGGCCATGGAGAAAAAGTAAGCTCGCGAAAGGAAAAAAATCATTTTCCGAAAGTTTTGAATTTTTTCACCGGGACTAGGACCTAGAGGGAATCCATCAAAATCGGAGAGATCGCCAAGGGGCTCCGGAGTGTGGCAGTGAAAATCAGTCCAGACCAGAGTTTGTTTTTTTTAATGGCTTTATGTTCTAGCATATTAGCCAATGACAATTATGCGTATTCGTTTTGAGGGGGGAAGGGTAACGTGAAAAAAAGGCCAGAGGCGACGGCGGGAATTGAACCCACGACCTCGGGGTCTACGAGCTGAGAGTCTCTCACGCTAACCACTCGGCAACCGCAGCCCCCTTAAGATTTAGTTTTTTATAAGTGAAGATTTCTTTATTTTAGCAAGATATACGTATTATTATTATTATTATTATTTTATGTGAGTTGGCCCCTACAAGGATTTAAATTTTAAATTTGGAACGAGTTTTATTATTATTATTATTATTTTATTCAATACACGTTTCTGTTTATTTTATTTATTTTGCCTTTCAAATTTTCAATTCAAGCCTTATTATTTTGTTGTTGCCAACCAGACTGGATATTTCATACGGTCACTATTCACTGGGAAAAAAATAGTATAGTTACTGCTACATCCCCACGAAAGACGTGATAGTACACAGTTGATGGAAATTTTTTGGATAACATACAAGCAATACAGCAAATTCTAGTCTTTTAAAATAGGAAACGACTTTTTTTAAATTTTTTTGTTTACAAAAACGTGACTGATGGCCTCTCCGTCCTCTTCGATAGTGTGACTAGTGGAAGGGCGATTTGGCGGCCTTTACGAATTTTCAATGACAAATTAAAGGTTGAATTATGAATTTAAAAAATAATATACATACTTTGAAAATTATGAAAAATTTATAACAAATATTTTAACAAAAAGGGTCCGGATAAACGGGTTTCCACTGTATGTTCAATTATGACTGCTAAACATATACGGATTAAAATAAAATTATAGTTTTTAAACATGTTGGCATCCTGTGTCATTTTCAAGAACTATTTTATTTCTGGAAAAAAATTTAAATAAAATTTACATTATTCCAGTTTCAAAAACACTTTTAACAAAAAGACAAAAAAATCATCTATATTAAGAAAGTAATTTAAAAAAATTAAACTTACAGCTCTGTCATCGTCGCAGCAAGCTGAGCATGTGCAACTGGTTGCATGAGGTGTAAGGAAGCCTCCCTCGATTAAAGAATTAAGACTCCGGCCTCCAAACCTTAAATCAATATTTGATATGACGACAAAATCAAACAAACAATTATTAAAAAACAACCTTATGCTTCTTTTCCAGTCCTTGCTAGAACCTCGCCCGCACAGAATTTCAAACTCGCTCGGCGTATACCACTGGTTTCCGTAGAAAATGCATCTCCCACGTCCGCCAGATCCGAAACGTGACTTGTGCAATTCGGCACTCGTGCTCTTTAAAAATTAAACATTTTAATTTGCATATAAAAAATATTTGTTTATCAATTTACCTTGCATCTAATTGGTATGACAGGCTGAGCTGCCGAGGCCAGCCACGACGCGTTGTTCGGTACCGTCCCTTCTTCAGTATTGTTCTCAATGACGATATGCGTTGTGGCCTTAAGGTGGCCATTCTATAATAGCTTATTATTCATCAACATTAAACGCTAGTAATAAAAAAAAATTACCTCGCTTCTTGTAAACCACTGTGTACGATGACTAGGCTCATTGCATTCTTTCTCATGATGACTGCTGTCACAAATACAACTGTTGTCAACGCAAAGAATCGGTCTCAGAGAGCTCGTGCTGGCCAACTGAAATGATAAACCGTACAATATAAAAAAATACTGCCTGAAGAAAACTCAACAAAATAAAAAATGCACTATTATACGCCATACAATAATTTAAGTCGATGTCCTTCACCCTAAATTTCACAGCTAAATCTGTCATTGTTCATAAATCAAATTAGCCAATACTCATAAAAGATCCTGAGACGTTTTTAGATGAAAAGTTTAAAAAAAACTCGAGGGTCTGGGCACAAGGCACTCGGACATTAAATTCATGACAACGTATCCTAAGACAAGGAACACTCAGCACAGAATAACAATAAACATATACCACAGAATAACAATGAGGACACAATTGATTATATTATAATTAATATATTTTATTCATTAAATGATTGTTACATATGTAATTAAAACATTATTTGAACTTGCCGCTGCCGATGTTACAAAACCACTATTGACAGTCAAATTTGCAGCTATACGTAGCCTATAGTTCGTTTTCCTTGCAGTATCTAATGTTTTCGCAGCATCAACCTGTGCAGAAGTTCTCGACAATGCAAGGCGATGTCTGTATTCGCGTTGTCGTTCTGCATTCGATGTTGGATCAACATTTGTTAGTGGAGTTGTAGATAGAAGCCTATAGTTCCTTTTTCTTGCACTATCTCTTTTTTTTTTGCAGCCTCAATCTGCGCAGGAGATCTTGACACTGCAAGGCATTGTCTATATTCACGTTGTCTCTGTGCATTCGATGTTGGATCAACATTTGTTAGTGGAGTTGTAGATAGAAGCCTATAGTTCCTTTTTCTTGCACTATCTCTTTTTTTTGCAGCCTCAATCTGCGCAGGAGATCTTGATACTGCAAGGCGTTGTCTATATTCACGTTGTCTCTGTGCATTCGATTTTGGATCACCATTTCTAGATGATGATTCATTTGATTTTGGATCACCGGTTGTAGACGACCATTCGGACATGTTGCTACTTTCGAAGTTCTCTTCACTCTACCGCTATATCTGATTTGCTTCAGTATTGTCAATTGAACGGCGATGCCTCTATTTCTAATTTGCTTCAGTTGTCAAAGTATTGTCAATTGAACGAAGCGATGAGTCATACATTTGAACAAGCTGATAATACCATCGTTAAAAGCTGATAATACCTTCGAACGAGCCGATCATGCACGATAGCCAGAGCGTAATACAGCGAGAATCATGCCTCTAAGCACGCTAGGCTTTAATCGGTTACTCTCGGCTCGAGCGTAACAGGACAATGAGTCATACTTTTTTGCGAATGCCTCCTAGCGTTACCGATTTATAAGACATTGTCACATCAAAAACCATTTGACTAATTTAAGATTGAAATAATAGACCAAGTCTAATTATACGATAAAACTCTGTCATTGTTAACAAGCGTAACAGTTGATAATTGTAACAAACGAAGAATATTGGAACACATTTCAGAAATTTAAGGAAAAAAAAAGAATGTACGGAAATGGTGAGATTTAATAAAAATTAGAAGAAGAATATAATTTAATTTTCTTGTAGGTTACTATTTTGTTAAGAACAGTTAAAACTGTTGTCTTTTTTTTGTAAGATGTATATATTTCGAATCAGCCCTGCAAAATTGCTACAATATTCAAGGAACGCCTAATTATTGTCAGGTAAACCTATTAACCTGCCAATAATAGGTGTACCTGAAATATTTTAACAAATTTGTATGCTGAAGAGGAAGCAGGGCTGCTTTGAAATACAGTCGACTCTTGTTAATTCAAATTTCTTGATAATTCAAACTCCTAAGCAGGTCACTATAGTAAATCGAAAAAATCCTATGCATTTTGATACACTCAGTAATAAGAAATATTTTTTGTAAAAAGGGGAGAATAATAATTTCTATTGATCGAAATGGAGCCACGTCCCATTTTTAAAATGTGCACTTTTTCTTTGTTATATATATTCCTATAAATTTCCACCTATTGATTACTTCATTACACCTAAAGTTTCTTAGAATTTTCTCTAGTTTGTCAAAAATCATAATTTCATGGTGCACCAATTTTTTGTAGTTGTTTATATATTATGTTTTTCAAATCAATTTTGTTTTACAACATTTTTACCACTGCAATTGTTTTACAGATATAAAAATCAATAAAAAATTTTTTTTTTGAAATAATAAAATTGTTTCAATGAATGTATGGTGTTTAGTGACCGTTAATCGATATTTATTTAAAAATCGTGAGATGCGGTCTGGTGTGATGTAGGTTTCAGAAAAACATTTTCATTATCGTGCCAAAGTTTCTATCTTTATTGAGATCATCTTCAGGGCCTGGGATTTACAAACATTGTTTACATATAACAATTACATTTTGGATGTGAAAAAGTGAATTTATACAATGCAAAATATATTTTTTAAATACTTTGATTGAATTTGTATAAATTCACTTTTCCACATCCAAAATGTAAGTGTTAGATGATCTCAATAAAGATCGAAACGTTGGCATGATAAAGAAAATGTTTTTCTGAAACCTACATCACACCAGACTGCATCTCACGATTTCTAAATAACTTAATGATTATTTGGAGATTGTGAGGTGCGGTCTGGTGTGACGTAGGTTTAGTGGCAATTTGATTAACAGTATGCATAACAATTGCACATAGGATTAGCTAACAGGACAATACATGATATAATGTTTAAAAACATTATTGTGTCCATTTAACAAAATTATGGAATTAAAACCTATTATACTGTTATTTTTCAAATTCCTTTAATTAAATTTTCCTTCATAAAAAAAAACAACAATAGAATTTCTAATAAATTTTAATGCAATTTACAATAATCATTGACTAATGGTCACTAAACACCACTCAAATAAAAATAAAATAAATATGCTAAGGGAATGTAAATACTATACAATTGTCAATATCCCTATTCATTTTTGAGTAGTTTAGTTAGCACAAATATAAACATTAATTGAAACGATGATTTGGAGATTGTGAGATGAGACTTAGGTTTTAGAAAAATATTTTCTTTATCGTGCCAATGTTTTGATCTTTATTGAGATCACCTTCAGGGCCTGGGAAATACAAACGTTGTTTAAATTATACAAATACATTAAGATGTGAAAAAAGTGAATTTATACAATGCTAGAAATTTTAGGCTCAATCAAAGGATTTTATACTCACTCAAAGTGTTTGTTTTCTGTGTAGATGTGTCATTAATGTCTAGTGTGTCGTGTTGAGAGTGCCAGTGGAGATACAAAAAACATAAAACCAATATCTCACTGGCACTCTCAACATGACACACCAGACATTAATGACACATCTACACAGAAAACAAACACTTTGAGTGAGTACAAATGCTTTGATTGAGTCTAAAATTTCTATCATTGTATAAATTCATTTTTTTTCACATCTTACATGTATTTGTAAAATTTAAACAATGTTTATAAATCCCAGGCCCTGAAGATGATCTCAATAAAGATCAAAACATTGGCACGATAAAGAAAATATTTTTCTAAAACCTAAAAGTCTCATCTCACAATCTCCAAATAATCGTTTCAATTAATGTTTATATTTGTGCTAACTAAACTACTCAAAAATGAATAGGGATATTGACAATTGTATAGTATTTACGTTCCCTTAGCATATTTATTTTATTTTTATTTGAGTGGTGTTTAGTGACCATTAATCAATGATTATTGTAAATTGCATTAAAATTTATTAGAAATTCTATTGTTGTTTTTTTTATGAAGGAAAATTTAATTAAAGGATTTTGAAAAATAACAGTATAATAGGTTTTAATTCCATAATTTTGTTAAATGGACACAATAATGTTTTTAAACATTATATCATGTATTGTCCTGTTAGCTAATCCTATGTGCAATTGTTATGCATACTGTTAATCAAATTGCCACTAATTTCATGAGAAATTTCACCCCATAAATGTTGCAACGCTGAACTCATTTGTTGTAAGTCAATCGAAAAACCTCTGCAAAGCATCCCACATGTGATCAATGGTATTGAGGTCTGGAGACAATGGGGGAAGGGGCAGATGGGAAATTCCAAGGTTTTTTAAACATTGATGAACAACTCTGCCTCCATGAGGTCTGGCACTGTCATCCAGAAATCACAAATCACTGCAAATGGGATCCACGGTTTGAGAGATGTATTCCTCGATAACTTCTTAGACAACAGACTGCGGAGAGGTTGCATTGAACAACATGAAGTCCAGTTCATCCTCCAGTGTAATGCAAGCCCAGACCCATTGCACTGCCTTCTCCAAACTGCACTGAAACTGCATCCCCTGCTCTCGGTAGACTCTTCAGAGCCTGCTATATACAGACAGAAATGCGACATCAGTAAACATAACAGCATTGGTGTTCTCTTTTAAGCGCTCGCTGCACCATATTCTCTTGAATTGCAAATGCGGTAGCTGCATGTCGTCTCAAAGGGGTTACGATGTAAGGCCAACTTCCCACAAACGATTACGAATCGTTCGTGTTGATAAAGGTCTTGCCAAAGCGTCTTGTGCTTCATTTAGGATCTAACAGGCACTAAGGAAAGGGTTCCGTGTTGCAGCAATGACTGTCCTCCCTTAGCGATGAGATCCACTACGAGGCCACCTGGCACTTCCAGCCTCTCGGAATCGGGCTAAAGCCCGGCAGACCACACTGAAGAACACCAACTGCCTCTGCGATATCCACTTGCCAGTGACCTCGCTGACTCATTCTCACAATAATATTGCAAACTTCTGGTTCAACATGACGCCTTTGTGAAAGAGAATACAACTGGATTAAAATGGAGAAAAAAACGAGGTGTTTGTTTACAAAATGAGTAATCTTCATGTTTACTCTTCTTAAGTAAATCTTAAAATGCAGATTAACATTTGGTTTGTATTTTCTATTTTGTTTTATACAACTAACCAGAATATATCGGTTAATTTAATTATAATTAATAAAATAAGAATAAATTACAAATATTCCTTCTCGTTTTTGAGCAATTTAGGTTTAATTTACCCAGATGAAACCTTCCAATTATCACAAATGCACACCTCATGGACAAATCATATCAACAACATAACTTTATGATGTATAATTTATTTTATTTAAAAACTCATCATCATCTGTAATTTACTTTTTCTGTTGGCACTAGAACTTGAAAAATATCGTCAAACAGGACAATTAATTGTGACATTCAATTTACAAAACCCTATTGTTTTTAGTTTGCATTGTCACTTGAAATCATTATGTGTAGTGATATAAACATGACGATTTTGTTTTTATGTGAATCCATGACATCGCCTTCGACCGTCTTTGCAGGTTATGTGTGCAAAGCATCGTCTGAACTTAAAAAAATCCGTCTAGAGGCTAAAAATTCGTTTCTAAATTTATTTTTAAAAAATTGTTTATTTCCGAGTTGGTGTGATGGGCTAGTGGAATGTGGTAGGGTGAAAAATAAGAGATACCTGCAGTTGTTCTGGTGTGATGACGTTGAAGGCGGTGGTGCCGCCGGCGACGTTGATGAGGGACGCGACCGGGACGGAAACGGGCGCCGAGACGGTGACGGGGAGGCCGTCGACCGTCGAAACAGAAACTGTCGTCGTCCGAGGCGAGCTCTGCTCTTCGGCCCCTTCGGACTTGTCCGCCAAAGGATCGGCCATGTCCGGCATGAGGACGGTGAATCCGCCTTTTCCACTTTCGTCTGGCGAGCTGCGTCCGGCCCTCGGCCACCGGCCTTCCGCGGATCCAGGCTGCAAAGGGCAGCCCGTCTTCAAAGGCGAGAAGCGGTTCTGCGGAAGCGAGCCTCGTTCCTCGAGAGTCGAGAAGTAGAAGCGGGCGAGAATGCGAAAGGCGACGGGCGGCGACTGGTTCGCTTCCCCGCCGGACGGGCGCAGCAGGGGCGGACGAAGCGCTCAGCAACCACCGGATAATCCCTACCGATTAGCCGCCCTCTTTCACCTTTTCCTATTTTATTTTCCCGACCTTATTAAATCTATTAAAAACAATACTTTATTTATAACCGGCTGCCTTTTTTTTAAATATCCCAAGTCAATTGAACCTTCTTCAAAGTTCAATTTTCACTAAGTCTTAAAAAAAATGGCCACGCTTAAAGAACATTTGACCTGAAGAGTTAAGACCAGCATTTTGCTTATACAAGGGTACGCAGTTGACATCGTTATTGTAATTGGAGACAAATTAAACAAAAAGAAGCCTTAAATTAACTCTGAAATTGTGCCAAGATAGAGTACAAGTATAAACCCCTCAAAATCAAAAGAAACTGGGGTTAGGGATAAAAGTGGTGGCCCCAAGGCCTTCTGCACCTCGACCAGAGTAGATCTATTGTGCTTCTCTATTTTTTTAACTCACAGGCCAGCTTCAGGTTGTTAATCAACCTCCATAGTCTTCGGCAGATGGAGAATCCATGCCGTATTGTTTATTTTTGATTGAGTATATTTTTTTAGTCTTGCCAGTGGCTCCTTAGTGTAGGATCTTGCTTGCGGTGCACGTTTGCACCTGAAGAGCTAAGAACAATTTTTTCCTTATACAAGTGTACGCAGATGACATTGTCATTATCATTGAGGGCAAATTCAATCAAACTCTAGTTGAATTAATAAAAAAAGCCTTAAATTTAATTCTGAAATTGTGCCAAGATAGAGTACAAATATAAACCCTTCAAAACCAACCAGGAAAAGGAAGCTCGATGGAAGAAATTTCTTGTGATTTTCAGGACCATATTCATGCCATTAGAAATAAATCCTTTAAAAATTTAGGATTTGTACTCAGGCAAACTGCTGACTTTAAGAACCCTTTTGCAATAAAATCTCTGGTGCGCAGTCACTTAGAGTAGGCCAGTGTTGTTTGGTCCCGGGTTCTTTACATGATAAAAATGGTACAGAAAAAAAGCCACGAAATACCTGTATTGCAAATTATGCAATCACAGGAAGTACCATCATTACTCCTATGAAAGCAGACTTGCTTAGTAGGTCTGGATTCTCTGGAGGATAGAAGAGTTTTGGCTTCCGTTGGGTTTCTGTGGAAGATCCTAAATAATTTTATTGACTCTTGTTTATACCTTACTTTAGGGTTCCCCAGCGTCAACTATGGACCCATGAATTGTTTGGTACTTCATGGCACAGGACCAAATACGGGTTAGAGTCTTCAATCTGTGTATTACTTAAATAAATATGCTATCAATGTGGATCCTTTCTCCTCGTCCCTTCAAATCTTCAAAAAAAAAAATTTAAACGTGCTTTAAAATGTAATTGAGGGTTTATTTATTACTTTTGTTGTGCTATTTATTAATCTATTTATAATATTGATTTTTTGTTAAAAGTATAAGTGCTTCTTTGCTTATTTTTATTGCTATTATTTTTATATCCTTTTTTAGTAGTTTATATCATAATGATTGTTTTGTTGTGTTGCTTGACTGTCCTATGCTTGGGTACCTGACCTGTTTGGACTGTAAATATATTAAATAAAAATACATTTATTAGTTTTTGATGTGATAACATTTTTAATATGTAATATTGTAAATATTCTTTACAAAAAATAAAACAATTATTAAATTTATTTCTTCACTTTCATTTCTTCCCTAATTCACTGATTAATATGATATTCTCATCCTATTGTTTTAAACAATAATAATAAAAGAAAATTGGCATAAAATTGTCTGTTAAATCATATGAGAGATTCATATGATTTTTACATATAAGTAGGTAAGTGAGCATCATTTTAAAAAAGAGAAAACAACTGAAACTTCAAAAATACAAATTTTGGATAATCGTTTCATTTTCAAGTTAGGGCCGAGACATTTGCAGAGATGTTCAAGAAGGTGTTGCCCATGTTCGACAGAGTTTTAATCTTGAGATCGGAGCGTCAGACGAAGTCGAAAGGCGGAATAGTACTTCCGGAAAATGCTCAGGGCCGAGTCTCACACGGAACCGTGATCGCCGTCGGGCCCGGCGCCAGGGACCATAAAGGCGAGGTAGTCCCACCGCTCATCAAAGTCGGTGACAAAGTCCTCCTGCCCGAATACGGAGGGACAAAGATTGAGCTCGAGCCCAACAAAGAGTTCCAGCTATTCAGAGAACGGGACATTCTGGCAAAATTCAAATGATTACAATTGGTGAGAAACTTAATCGCACGTATTGGATGAAAAACAAATAAATGTCTTTTCAATTATATTTGAAAACCGTCTAATCAGGCTAAAATAATAAAAAGTAATTTGCTTATGATCTTTCAAATTGAACAATAAATTTTTAATTTTTTTGTTTAATGAACAACTTGATGTTGTTTATACAATTATAAATGATTTTTCTTATTTTATTCTTTTTATTATTATTGAAATTTTTATGTCAGCACGTATTTGTTGCGGTGGTTCTGGTTTTGAATTTCTTCTTTGTCATCTGAATTTTCTCACCCCTCGTAACTTTAATTAAACAATAAACTAGAAACGTACAACTGTAGATCAACATATTTGATTACACAAAGATCAATTATAGCACTGCTATTTCAAAATGTCCATAAATATCATATATAGATGATAAACTGTGACAGATGAAGTTCATCCGCTGCATTCATTTATTCGCTATTTTAATTATTTTAAATAAATTCCCAGTATAACTATAAATTTAAGAATTAAATCGTTTTCCAATTATAATACTTTTTTCAGTACGACAATTAGCAATTCAATGGGTTTTAAAATACATAAAGTCCAAAGGGTTCACAATGGCAGAACTATCAACCCTTGGGGTGTCAGTGTTTTTGAAAAAAAAAAAGCCTATAAGTATGTCGGGTTTGAATGCAGAGCCACTAGATTCGAACATGAGTGCCGTGTCAATGCCTAAATCGTTGCAGTTAGTGACACCCCTCAATCAACTCTTCCAACTTGTCTCGGCTTTCACTTTTCTGGGTCTGACACTGAATTGACTCATCCTGCATCAGGTTGCTCTTAGACAGAAAACTCTGTTCGACTCGTCTTGACTGGGAATTTTCACTTACCCAGGCTGACTGAGCCAACTGGGCGTTTTTGTTATTTCCCATCTACCCCTTTTTTATTATTTTTCCAACAAGGATGGAAGAAAGGGAAAGCAAAATCCATTGATCATCGCCCTTCTAGCAAGGGTTGGCCACTGTCTGTCCATCCATTCCCCTGGTCCTTTTCCGAAGAGCCCATTCGGCTGATTTAAATCCAAATTTATAGTGACCCTCAACTTGACAAGCCCTCATATTCTACAACTTTCTTTCAATAAAAAACTTCATTTTTATTATTTATTGGGACTACTTTTTTGTTGTATTTTTACTTAATCCTTCAATCCAGCCTAGTCAAAAGCCTAGGACAAGCACTGCCCCAAGAAAGCACTACAATATAAGGCACCAGAGAGGAAACAAAATTGGGGAGTATGCCATGTTACATTTTATCTGGATTAGATGATGTTGATGATGATGATCAGATATAAAGTCTGGGTTTGCACCCAGTACTGCAGCCTTATGTACTTTTCCTAGTTTCTTAGTTCAGTTTGACTCAATCTTTCTTTTAATTAAGCCATCGATGCAATTCTTTTTATAGGTCTCTTTAGTAACCTAGGTTTTATTTCCAATGAATGGATGTTTTGCTTTACTGACCAAATTAAAAGTTCATTATTCCACAGACAACATGGAGAAACCTCATTAACTGAACCTGCTTTACAAAGTAGTATCTTGAAGATAAAATTATCTGCAAAATTGAGTATGTGATGTAAATATGGCGCATTTTTGAAGTTGAACAGAGTTTGACAAGATAAACCAAATAGTGTTATTTCGAGCGCAGATAAATTCGCAAATTGTGAAAATAATCAGAAAATCTTTTCCGTTTATTGCGTTTTGATCGGGACTCAGACTGGAGAAACAGCCTTTAATGTTTTTCCTCAGGTGGCATTTAAAAAAAAAAAGAATATAGCTTAAAAAATTGGAGGACTTCAAGGCTCTCTTCTTTAACAGGCTTGACGACCTGCGTTTTGAAATCTCGAACGACTTGCTTATTATTTATTTTTTTATTTGCAAATGGTGAACTTTTGATTTTGATTTATATTTTGGGGTTTATGTTTCTATTTTGATAAATTAATTTTAAAGTGTGTAGATAAATCCACTTTGTTTCCATTTTTCTCCCTTCAGGTATCTTTTCGTTCTTAGATTTTGGCTAAACGTTCTGGCGGGGCAACTCCTGTTTAAATTGATTTATGAAGAGCATCTAAGAATTTCCTTTATATGTGATAGTTTCTACAATGGTTCTTTAATTGCGTGCTTCTGTCTTGAATATCCCATTGAACAGAGGACTTCTTATAACTCATTGTTTGATGGATCTACATTTTTGGCAATTTGGTATGTCGCAAAAGTGTTTAGAGCCAATCCAGATCATATTTTCTTTGGCCGACGTTGCCTCTCTGCTCTGTATGCCCTGGACAATCTGACAAGACTTTGATGCAATCCCAAACAGCTCTGGGCTTTACTACCGATGAGTTGCCTTTAGTGCCACCTAGTCTGAGCAGAAGGGTTATTCTTTTGTTGGAAATACTCAACCTTTTGATCCTCCTGGAAGTGTTCAATAGCCGCAGTCTCCACTTGAAAGACTTGATTAAGCCCATGTTGTTTATTTTCTCGACCAGTGGCCTGTGTAACGCCCTGACGTGAAAAGTCATGAAAGCATTCAACTTCTCTTTATATTTTTCTTTATTTTTTTAATAGTTTTAATTTTATTTCACACAAGATAAGCTTTAGAACCAACTCATTATCATAGATTATAAATGCAATTACTTATTTTAAATCAAGGGAAAAGTTAAAAAAATAAAACAGTCCCACTTTTCTGTATATTTATTGATTAATGACATTAATGCTGTCTTACATAAAATAATTAGCACAGCTTCTATACAAATTTTATTTTAGATTAAGATACTTTCACGATTGGTACATTGTTCATTCCAAATAACTCCAAACAACGGCAATCGCCATTAAATATTTTGTTCCCTTTCATGTGTTATTATATTGTAAAATTGTTATATTACAGAAGAAAACGGGAATATGTACAGACAGAAAATTGTATTTTGTTCTTTAACAAAAAAAAGGTACAAAGTATGAAGTTTTTTTTGTATGTTTTCAAAACCAAGTCGGTCAAAATCACAAAAATGTGTTCTGGGTTCTATTTAGGTCCTTGGATATGTCACATATGTTTTGTATTAAAAACATTCATTTTTTTAAATCTTTTGTTAAACAAATTTTACCCTTAATGCTTCACATTTAAATCGACAATCACTCTTTATCTCGCAAAGCAAAACTACAATATTTCAAATTATAACGATAAATTTTACTTATTGACGCAAGATAAAAAGGCTGAATATTGTTGCAATTCCTCTGGAATTTAATCAACATCGCTTATAACTAATTTATAATTAATAGTAATCTTTTTTTTTTCCATTATAATGAAAACGTCAGAGCAAGCAATCTAAAATAGGCACAAATCAATTACTAATTTTCAACAGATGCAAAATATAAAACATATATATATAATATATACAATATTTATTTTCCATTAGAATATTGAATGAGCTTTATAAAACAAATGATATTTCAAAGCAACTGATTGTACGATAAAAGAATCACTACTTATTTTAGGCCACGCTCCTAATGTACATATGTTGATTTTAATTTTAATTTTATTGGGCAGTGACTCTCAAATGTAGAAACTAGTTTTCTTTTTTTTTTTTCAATTTAACTGTTGATCACTCGTTTTTATATGCCTATGATTTTTTTTGCTATATAAAATTTAAATAAAAAAGTACTCTGTGCATGGCAGAGCTAGCTAAACCTCCTGTAAATACTATCACAAAGTGAAATTTAAAATAAAAAAAAATGAAAAATAGTGAAAATTGTTTTTAAAAAGTATGTGTTTTTTGTTAATACAAATTGGTATTGAAAATATTGGCATAAAAGTATGACTAGGTCTATAAATAGGCATGTAGAACAATTTTCAAAACATATCATTACAAAATATTTAAACAAAAAAACAATCGAAACGATGAAAAAATATATTGCAAATAATTTGGTTTTTCTATGATGCCCTAGAATAGAATCTTAAAAGGAGGTAAGTGTACGTAAAAGCACTTCTTTTTTTTGTCGTAATTTTTCATGTTTATTCTAGATCGCTAGTGTAGTGAGAATGGGTTCTTCAGCAGACTATGGCTTCTGAAATGGGATTTTCTGTTATGTTAATCTGCCATGACCCGCTTTGAAGGCCAGGCGCACTGCGGACGCTGTCGTTAGACCCAGACCCTTTCATAGTGAAACCTGGAATAAATTAAACCAAAAAGTTTAAGCTTTTTTGGCAAAAAAAACCTTATACATAAATTATATTGATCCGCATAAAAATACAAAAAAAAATGTTAAACATGCCGTTATATTTTAAAGCAAAGCTAAAACATGCAAAAAAAAGTCAATCTCTTGTCCACAAGAAACACAAGACACTACACAAAAAGACAAATAAAAATAATTTAATTAAATAGTTAAAAAGTGAATAGACAAGCCAAAATAAAATTTGTGAATGGTATGAGAGTTATGAACTGTTATACACAGTACGAATAAAACTGATTAAAATTAATTTATCATGGTTAAATCATATATTTGCTGTTAACAGAGCAGATGATCAGTTTTGGTAAAATAAACGCAAAAAAAGCACAAGGTGTGTGATTACCTGTTGAGTAGACTCTAAAAAAAATTATTTTTGGTCTTGATCGGAGGCATAGGGCTTACAAATTTATATACATAGATTAATCAAATCCAATAGTCGATACAAAAGTGATCAAGAAAAATTATCAGGTCTGTTAGTCGGGATACTTGCAAACGAAAAAAAAAAAGCAAAATAAAACTTACACTAGCAAAGCATTGGAGATGTTGAAACTGCATCACTACGTTATGTGCATTTACCTTCCACTGAAGTCGATGTAGTGATCCTTTTACGACCCACTCTTACAGCTAGAAACAAAAACAAGATATATTTATGAGATTTTTTCACTTGTTTTTGTACGCTAGTCGTAATGATTCGTATTTTTGAACCTGGATGATTCGACATGCTTTCACTACAATATTCAAAAACTATACTACTTTCGCATTTACAGTACTAGACCAAGCCCTTTTCTTTACATACACTAATCAAAACGGACAGAAGAAATGCTGCGAAAATTAAATCTGTCAAGGGAAAATAACATTCGCATGCTGATAGTTAACACGAATTAAAAAATAATAATTTCCGGTATTAATAGCAATTAAAAGTACCAAAAACAAAGGCAGAAATTAATTTAAGTTGATGATTGTGATGCCAAAATAGAGCATAGGTGAGATATTTGATTAAAATCATTTTAGAAAAACCGAACTTAAACTTTTAAAGAAATATAAAATAATACAAATCTACTCTTTTAGCATTTTATACATGAAAGTAACACAGAAATGTCAAAAACGTGGAATTGATCCTTTCAATATTAATATGAGATTCAGATACTAGAACAATTTTGGCCACCAAGTAGTACAAGCTTTCTATTTTACATTATATTTACATAAAGGGTGTTACAGGGTTAAATGTCAATACTGACATGGCGGATTCGCTAAACAAAATGTAGTTTAGTGCCACCAAAACAACATTTCTATCTTAACTCTTTCCTGAGATGATTAACATATTTGTGATTTGAGTCTTAAAAAAAATTCCAATTTTTTTGCAAAGAAGGTTGAGAAGAAAAACTAGTAGTTTCACGAGCAGGACTCGAACTGATGACCCCGGTGGTCTACCACTTGAGCTATTGCGACTTTGGTGCATGAGGAATGAAGTGTGCGCCACGGTATAAAACCGTTGGTCGTGTTTGAGTCCTGCTCACGAAAATAGTTTTTCTTCTCGACCTACTTTGCATAAAAACTGGAAAACATATAAAAAGTGATAACTAATAAAAATAATTATAAGATTTTTTTTACATAAAATTGTAATTTCTCAATTTTAGCCCATTGAAATATAAATATAAATCTGATCTTTATTTCACAAACTATATTAAAATTCCCACAAGATGTTTTCATTGAAAAATTCGTGCTTCTGGGGGAAAAAAAATCTCCCTGGGCGGCTGCCCACGGGGGCGGTGGCACTGGTGGCACTCTGTCTGTCTCACAGGGAAATATGTATATAGCTAATGCCGAAAGGTTAGGCCAAAAAAAAAAAATAATAATAAAAAAAAAAAATACACCGTAACCGCTCAAAGAATAATAAATGGCAAAAGCCCAAGGTTTTTTTTTTTTTTTTTTTTTTTAATACTCAATTGTGCAAAGACTTTTTCAATAACTATTTTCAAGGATTTCACCAGTATTTTAAATTAATTCCAACATACTTTTAAATTTTTTAGAATTTTTATTAGTGAAATCTCCTTTACAAGGATGAAAAAGGTAATATCGAACCCGTCAACCCAAGGTTGTATTTTTAATAAAAACATTTATTAGTTGGTAACAAAAATTAGACTCTTCTTCTCATAAATTTTACATAATTAAAGAAAAATTACAGCAAAAATTAAATAAATTATGCATTTTTTGTTTGAAATCCTTTTCGTTCGTATTAGACAGCGTGAATGTTGAGCACCGACTTGACTTTATGGAGGACTTCCTTCTTTTTCTGTCATTGCAAGCGATCACAATGCACTTTTCAAAGTTCCTAATATGTAAAAATATACTGGGGTCAAATCAGGGCTCCTAGCCACAGTTCAGATTTGTTTTTCAAAAATGCTAACATTGAGAAATTATGATTTTATGTATAAAAAATCTGATTAGGCTAAAACTGGACGTTTTATTTAGTGAATCCACCATGGCAATATTAAATTAACCCTGCATGTATTAAAAAAAAGTAAAAAAAAAAGCAGTTTTAAAATCTTTGTTTCTGCCATTGTAATGTTGTTTTTGGATTCTTTTGAATCAGGATAATTATGACTTGCATTATTGTTTATATTTACAATAATTATGTACATTAACGTTTTAAGAAAAGTGACAATATTTTATTTTTTTGTACATTTTTTAAATAATTGAAATAAAATTGAAAAAAAAAAACTATTGGAAATTTAATCTATATGACTCTGCATACAGAAGTATGGGTTGATTGTTAATCGCTGTGAAAATAAAATATTTAAAAAAAATGTTTATTGTTTTACTATTGAAAACTAAAAATTGTAGGCCAACATTTGAAACAAAGTGCTAATAATGATAAGGCTCGTATAAACTAATAGTTTTTACTTTATTTTCGAAAATTCATGTGCAATGATTCAGTTGGCCGCTTGACAAGTGAAGGTATAGAGTGAAATAAAGAACGTTCACTAGTCTAATAGGTGATTGTAGCAAAAGACGAGCATAAATTTACACATAATCCATGCAACGAGTGAGAAATACATACCAGGTGCATGTCTCGCCATGGGAAGGATGTAAACACAAAGCAAAATGTGTCAGTGATCGAACATAACCAGGTCTACAAGCCTAGCAATTTTTTTTCTTTCTTTTTCTTTCAATTTTCAATAGGAAGGCAAACAGGGCAGAAAAATAAAATGCCCGTTGCACAATTCGTAGTAGAAACAGACACACTCCTCCGCATACACCCAACTTAATAATGCAAAAGCCAAGAGGGAAAGTTAATTCATTCAAAAAAATTTAGAAAATACTTGAAATTAAAATGAAATGCTTCAATTAAAATGAAAACAAGTAAATGAAAGAATATGTCAGACATCAATAACATTTATTTGTGGCATGGTTACATGAAATGTACATAGGAAACACACAACATGGGTCGTCATAAGCCAAATTTTAACATACTACGATGAAGTTTACATAATATACCAATTGCGGATAAAATTTCATTATACAAATAGTCCATTTATATAAATTTTCCCTTTTTTTATAACAATTTATTACAAGAATACAGTTGTATTATCCTGATCGATTTCTTGCATATTGTTTTGAAGCATTTGTTTACTTCATTTATATAAAGAAAAAGTGTATTTACATATTATTATCATTTTAAAATAATCATTTTAGAAAAAAATGCATGTAACTTGTCAATTTCTTGTGAAAATCAATCAAAACATGTTGGGCTATATGCAATCCAAAATTTCACTGGATCGAAGAACTTCAAAACAAAATTTCCTTTTGACAATCTCCAAAAATTGTATTGGATTTTGAATAACAAAGTGATAATTTTTTTTGGGTTTCATTGGTCCCAGTCGGAGGCGCCAAATCACACATTTTACTTGTTCAGCGTGTTAAGACAAAAAAACCTGTCCGTGTACATTTTTTTCCATCGTAATCTTAACGTTTAAATATGTAAGGGTTGAGCACGTAATTTTTAGGCCTTGAAGGTTAAAAAAAACAAAAAAAACAATTCCATAATGAAACTCACACAACAGCTGAACGTGTCTCAGTTTGATGCAGTATTACAAATTTTAAATTGGCAAGTTAAATAACACGAGCCATGAAAAAAAATGCGATATGAATATATTGGCTGATAATATAACCAAATTGCTTTTTGCCAGGAATCAAAAACTAAAAAGTAATTTTTTAATATTTATTAAAGCATGGGCTAAATCGCAAAAGCTAAAATTTGATTAAAAGGTGAAGTTCGAATCCACCTAGTGTTTATTTTCTTCAGCAGCAGTTTCAAATCATAATATTTAATAATGTAGGGAAAATTTTTGGATAAAAACCCTAAGGAGACAAAGCAGTCGTTAATCAAGATTATCAAAATTTATACGTCAATAAATAAAGCTAACAATTAGTATAGAAACTTACAAAAGCTACAAAAAAATTAGGTAAATTTTTACAAATTAAAAGCCATTACAGGGATTCAGAAAAGAAAGCAATTGTGAAAGAAATCAGCAGTTTGGCAAAATTTAAAACTTAGCAGTTGAATTAATTTTTCCCATAATAATTGATACAAGGTGAGGAAGAAATAATTATTAAAGAAGAAAAAAAAGCAATCTAACCATAAAGAACTTCTAATAAGAACTATTAAATTTGCTTTATCACAATTCGCTTTTGTTGGAAAACCATAAATAAAAAATAATGTTAACAATTTTACATGTTTAAATAAATTTATTGTTGAGCCAAACACTTAGCGCTTGCTGTTTCTACAAAACACGTACTCATTTATATGTGGAAATTAGTTTTTTTATGATGTTCCAATCACAGAGATCTGCCAGAAGGCTATATTTATATTTAAGTTAAAGAAATAAGCAGATGATGGGTATTTCAGGTAAACGAAGCAGATCTAAATAATTTTCAAGAAGTAATAAACTTCTTAATGTTACATTGCAAAAAAAACTTGTGTTTTATTCTATGTTTTAATTTTTATCGGATGTTTCAAGTGAACGCTACAATTAAGTTTACGATATTTCATCGTGGCCAAAGGAAAAGGGGAAAAACACGTGCTATTTATATCAACTTATTGACTTCAAACTAAATCACACTGCTTAACTTCAATTCACACATGATGTCCTCTTGTCTTCAGCTTCAAACAATCCTTAAAAGGGCTGGGCTTTGGACGATTGTAATTTTCCTTCCTGCTTTGCTAATAGACGGAAACAAAATGGAGTAATATGAATTTTGAACAAACTTTTTTTCTCGTTTGTTACTTTCTATAAGAATTTTGTGTTTTTTTTATGAAATAAGGCTTTTTTTTTCTCCTGAAAACCCATTTTCTGTATCAATTATTTACTTCAAATTCAACTGTAATAATTTCATTGACTATCAATTTTGAATTACAAAACAATATTTTTAAACACTAATTAAATATATATAAGTAAATATGTTTATTCATTTTTTAATAAAATTACTTAAGAACATAAAACATTCAGCCAATATATAAATAATTATAAATTAAAAGTTTTTAATTTTTTTTAAGAAACAAATTTGTTGGATGCAAACATTATGTGCCTAGATTTTTTTCTTTAAACTAAACTGGCCCAGTTTGGAACCTTCTAAAATTACTACTATTTTCCTAATAAAATACTACATATATGATTTATCTTTCTTAAAGTTACACTCAAAACTACTGTTTAATAGGTGTACATCTCTCAATGTCCAACAACCACTGTAGCAATAATCAAGTTTACAAAGTTTTTTTTTTAAGTAATAACATCCTTTTCATCAATTGTCGGGCGTTTCTTTGAGACTTGCTCATTTATCCTATTGGTGGGGGAAAAAAGAAGTCATCAGTCATTTGGAAGCATTCCATTGGTTATTTAATTAAGTTCCGCTTTTTTCTCATTAAGCCGTTGCAATGCGAAGCGGATAACCAGCGAAATCTTTCAAGTCTTACAACTTTAAGCGCCTGATACGACTAAGCGTCTGAATATGAGTGTCATTTGCAATAATACGTTGTTTATATAATCATGCTTGCTTAAGCAGAAAAACGTCATTCATATTAAAACTATATGGCGGGGAAAACAACATAACTGTATGTGTGAATTGAATTATGAAAAAAAACAGATTGATGGATCAACTATGACTACTGAGATGATTTTATAAATAATTATGGAATTCTGATAAAACTAAACGATATGTATATGGAGTTGAATGTAAATTAAAGCAAAACTTTACACTAACAAACTAGCTAAAAGTACTAAATTTAATTTTTTGGTTTATAATGTCCATTATTTTTTGTTTCTTTGGTCAACCTTTATTTAAAATTTTGCTATTCTAAACTGTTCAGTGTGCTAATAAAAACTACTTGTGCTTTGGTATTTATAGCTAATAATATGTTCTGTTAGTATTTATTAACACTGATGCAATACAAACTTTGCGATTTTTTATTTATATACTGCATAAAGCCTAATAGGTCTAATTGAAGCATATTGCCTTTCGTTTTTCAAGAAAAGTTTTATTTACATTTTAATCTGCATCCTGAAAATCTGTGCGTTTTTCTCTATATAAATTATTCAATTCAATTCTGATCTGGTGTTGGTGATTAATTTTGAAATTTAACCCGTCATGGGAGCGCATGTTAGTCATCCAAAAACCATTTTTTGCTTTTTGAACTTTGCATCGGTACGCCAATGGATTACACGTTTATTACCATTTTAATAAGCAACTTTTTCTCTTGTATATTCAGCCAAAATCCGTAAATGTGAAGAGCTCAGGTACTAATTGCTAAAGGGACAAATTAGTGTAAATGGTACTAATTTAAAAAAAAAAAAAAAAAAAAAAAAGTATAAATATAAGACTACATCTTATATATATTGAGTACATTTTATATTGAGTGCTCGGTCACACCACTCTAGTCTCACTTTGAGCCTGCATTTGAAATATATAAGGAAAGTACTGAATCACACACCTGACAGACTGACACAGTTTTTGGCCGACGTAGTAATAAATAATGGCATATTATGGCACAAGCTGTCAGAGTTAGGTAGGTTGTATGGTATAGGAGTAAGTAGGAAAGATCTGAAGTCCTCTAATACCACAGACCTGATAAAAAAAAATGGGAGGAGAGCAAGAGGAAAGATCTGGTAACCCGTGCGAGAAATAGCTTACATTACAACTTGTACGCAAGTTGTTTGACTTAGGGCGAAACTACATGGAGTGCTCTAATATGACAGCCTATGAGGTGTCTCTGGTCTTGAGGGCGAGGGGTGAATTGCTTCAGCTGAACTGCCAACCGTGGAGACAGGACTGCGCCATCATTTGCTCCTTATGTAACCTCAACGTCCTAGAGGACACTCTTCACTTCATAGGAGTGTGCCAAAGGTACTTTGGGAAACTGAAGTTGGATGTAGAAGAAGTCATTGCAATCCTTAACGGAAGGGATAACTGGATTAAGCTTGTGGTGTACCTCACTCATGCCCTGCAGTACCGAAAATACCTGGTTGACCACTTCAATTTTTAAAATCAAAGGTCATTCTAAAGATCCAATAATTCATAAAGCAACTCGACAGACGGCTAAGGCCATTGTCAATTTAGCTTTTTTTGGAAATGTAAAGTTAATGTAAATAAAGCCTTTATTCATTCATTCATTAATTTAAAAAATATATATATACATATAAGGCAGTCCTGATCTTCCGATCTTCCTGTGAGTTAGGAATAGTTGCTAAAATAGGATAAAAATAGTTTAAGGTTGCAAACACAGTAGGGAGTTAAGAGACGTTTCCCACAAAAACCTGGAGATCATAGAAATGCGATAGATGATAGTCTGTACCCCAAATAATGAAAATTGATGAATTATTTAGAGTGGGAAGGTTTTATCAGACACAGTTCATTCAACTTTAATGCACCGTAAATTTGGGGTCACATCATCGGGTGGGTGAAATATGGGACCAGAAGGCGCATAATGGAAACCTCAGATTCCATCTGGCCCAATAGATTTTGCTTTTGATTTTTTCCCCTAGTCTGATTGGGAAAGGTATAAAAGTGGATGGTTTCAAAAGCGAAGTCGGTCAACTCAAAGACCCACCCAGTCAGTCCAGAGTCAAGCACCACTCAGCCGAGAGTCAGCAAGGACCAGCCATTTTGACAAGTCAAATAGAGTCGACGGTCAAGGACCCAGGAAGTGGCAAGAAAATGCTTGAAGATGTGGAAGAAGTCCTTGTAAAAAAGCTCATCCCCAAAGTTAGCGTGTGGCTGACATGATCATCAACTTGATCATTTATTGAATTTTTGTTTACTTGTTACCATATTAAAATGGGCCAATGTCAAAAATATTTATGAATATATTTCTCTGGTTTATTATATTTTTGGACCCCTACACAAAATAGTTAAGCCCATATGCCCATGGAATGTTTGTAGATAAATATAACGCACTACAAAAAAATGTATTACTCGATTAGTAAACATGATAAAAAATAAATAACATTCCTCAAGTGAATTGTGTTTGGACCCCAAAATTATTATCGGTACTGGTACTACAAAAAAAATTTATTACTCGATTAGTAAACATGATAAAAAAATAAATAACATTCCTCAAGTGAATTGTGTTTGAACCCTAAAATTATTATCGGTACTGGTTAAATTTTTATATCTTATTTGAAGAAATACTGCAATGTGCGAGGGAAAGAACAGAAGCACGCCCCATGGCGGGTTAATATCAACAATAACCACACAAATCAACGAAAAGCTAGACCGATGCATCAGCTAAAATACGTGAAACTAATTATTCTGTACAAGCTTTGCGCCGTAAATTTGGAACATTATAAACCTAAAAAATTAATTTTAACATCCAACAAATAATCAAGAGGGCTTGGTTAGGTTTCACAGTTTACACCAGAATAATTATAAATATATGTTTAAAATGTTCTTATAGTATTATTTATCATTGACTTTTTGTTACATCTGAAAATCCAAGTTTGTAAATTCATGACAAATTTATAAATAATCGTAAAAAATATTTTAAAAAAAGTCAATGTTTGTTTAAAAATTTATTCCCAGAGCAAGTTAGTTGATTAATTTTAACATTATTTACAACAATAAAATGTATCTAATTGGCTACGATCACTACTTAAAGAATAATTTTTGTTAGCACTTACCATATCCAAGTCCCTGTAAGAACAGGCGAAGCGCCTCGCTTATCTTGTTAGGCTGTTCCTCCAGAACCATCCCGCAATCGGAAATCTTTAAAAATAAAATTTATATAAGAATCATTTATTAAAAAGACACTGTTTAAACGCATACCTTCATCCAGGAAGAGTTGGTCGGATCGAGCCGGGCATTGAGTGTAACGGTGTCGTCGACGTGAGGGCTCAGGGCTCCAGTTATGTTCATGACGGGCATGGAAAGAGTGAGACACTCTTTGCTGTTCGGGTCCAGGTTCCTGGTCATATTGAGGTCGGTCCGTCTGATGTAGCTGTCGATGAACTGGGCCAAGTTGCCCGGTTGGACGCACCGCTCGAAATAGCTCCTGTAGACCTGGACCAGGTCATGGTTCCTCTCTTCCGTCCCCTGTCGGCGCAAAATTACGATCTTGCGTTTCTACAAAAACAGCCTCCGAAGGTAAATATAAGGTATTGCATGTAAAGCACCGCCACCCTATTTACCTCTGAAGGCTAGTCATGCTGTGTCGCAGGCTATATTCATGTTATTAGCTTGTAAGAAATAATCTAAATTCGAGCAAGCAGGAACTAATGATTGATAATTATTTAAAAAATGGTCTAAACTGATAGAATAATGATTTCAAAGTAGTAAACTTCAATTAAAAAACACTTTAAGTATTCTATTAGCAATAGCAATGTTTAAGATGTAATCTTTTTACTTTTCCTAAATTTTGACTACGCCTAAAAAATCTTGAAAACTGTAGTCGCTGTAAACTGTCATTCATAATCGAAACCTTCTCTTTGCAGTAAAGCTCAATTCATGCTAATAAATACATTTACATACCAGACCATATCACGCTTCTCCTGAGTAATCAATAATCCTTGGGGTAATTGGGGAAGAAGCCTCCTTACATTCATGCTAATAAATACATTTACACATACTGAACTTCAATCACACACCTCCAGACTAATCAATATTCCACACACTAGCTAATTGGGGAAGAAGCTCCTCAATTCATGCTAATAAATACATTTACATATCAGACACTATCACACTTCTCCAGAGAAATCAATATTCCTTGAGGTAATTGGGGAAGAAGCCTACTTACATTCACGCTAATAAATACATTTACATAAACTGAACTCCAATCACACATCTCCAGAGTAATCAATATTCTTTGAGGTAATTAGGACAAATTTATGCTAATAAATACATTCACAATGAGAACCTTTTTCATTCAAGCAAATAAATACAGTCATTTAACATTTCTCATTGATTTGAGTCTTAGTACGATATTCCTCGAAGATTGAGAGGTCTGGCCATGCAGTTAAATTATTAAAACTACAAAGTGAAATTTTTTTTATTAAAAGCTTTGTGAAAAAGTAATATTGTGTGTAAAAAGTATGTGATTGTAACTTAGGTTAAGAAAATTATTGTTTCAAAAGGAATAAAATCCAATTAACCCAGAACTGTTAAACAAAGCGACTATTTTCTAATCAAAATATAGGCCACAGATGATTATAATTAAAAATTATTTGGAAAAATAGAAACTGTGTTATTATTCGCAGGAATAACAATTTTACCCTTCCAAAATGATGCCACATGAGATAATCCAGGACGCCTTGGGTCATCCCTTTCGACTTAAGGTAGCGTGCGTTGAGCTTTTGGTAGCCCCATTCTATCCAGCCAGCCTGGGTCGAGACGACGTTGATTAGGCAGAGCGCTTCGACCCTTTCCGGGTGGGCCAGGGCAAATCTGGCGAGGATGTTGCCACCTGCTCCGACCCCCAGGCCTATCACACTCTTGAGTCCAAAGTGGCAAAGAACGTAGTTTACCTGCGCACCGAGCTCATCCATTGTCGGATATTCATATCTGGAAAAATATAATTGAGTTAATAAAATTACATGTAAGTAAATGCAAACAGTATATTTCAATCATTGCTTTAATCATCATAGATGAGCTAGTTTATGATTATTGTATGAATTTATTTTAATTTTATATTTATTATATTATATTTTTTGTTTTTTTATAATATGGAAATTTTTAAGACTAATTTAATATTTCAGTTTTTCTTTTAAAAAAAAGTAAATTTATTACTTTATACTTAAACATTTATTTGAACATTTCGGTAATTACAACAAAAACTACCCAGTAACAAAATGAAAATATTATATTTTTTAGTTTTATTTCTTTCACATTATTTTTAAGACTTAACCATATTTCTCTGTCTCCCTTAGTGATTGTAATGGACAAATTACAATTACAAAGTGACACTGTTGGTAAAATTATTGACAAAAAAAAAACACATTTATGGACAAAATTGTGAATGGACTATTGACCGAACAGGTGGATAATAAACAGAGACACTTTTTCACAATAAACACCAATTAGGACAGTGAAAGCATTCAGAAGTCTCAAGATTGAAATTCAGGGCCAACTCTTAGAGGAATATTCCACAACCAAGTAACGATGATCCTCGGCAATTAGCTCTGACACATTAGGATCGTTTATGAAACTGTTTGTTTGCTGCGTATTGACAAACGGATACAACCGGTTTAAACCAGAACCCGTTTACAATTTTAAAAAAAGCTAATGACCCAAAAATTGACTAGGTACATACCCATCAGGCAGAGGTGACGCTCCTTCCTCCTGGCCAGGTGCGTTAACGTGGTAGACGCAAAAATTCTCCAGCAGCTGTCTCATCTCCACATAGTTAAAAAACGCTTGAAAATTTGATACATCTGGAAAATACAAAAAAAATTAAAAATAAGCATAACACCAAAATCTAATTTTGGCATTATATGGTCTGCATAAATTTTTTTTTCTTTTAGTGGTCACACCCATGATTTTTGCTTTTGGAGTATTTTTTATGATAAAAACAATATTGTAATTATGTTGTTAATTATAATTGATAATTAAATTCTTAATATTGTAATTTATGTTTCTGCTCTAGGATGTAATCGTTAAAAAAAGCCTAAATTATCCATAATTTTTTTCTATCCACATATTTTCAGCAACAGAAGAATGCATATTATTTATTATATAATTACTCAATTAAGTATACACAATTTTTTTTAAAATGAAAAATTTGTGTCACGGGTGGGATTCGAACCCGTGACTTTCATCTAAATACGCTGCTGCTCTACCACTTGAGCTAATATGACTTCGATCACCCATGGCACTTCTCATTTCGACTCCCAGTTTATTCCAATTGTAAGCAAAACGCGGCTTCATAAAGAAACACTTTTTTTTTTTAACGATTGTACTACATTAGCGGGACTGTGTACGATTCACAGGTGTGATTCTAGATTAATACTAACAATTAATTAAGGTTTTTAGTTGAGATAAAAAATTCAATGGCACGAGCGGGATTCGAACCCACGATCTTCGACTTGATACGCCGCTCCTCTACCACTTGAGCTATCGCGACCTCGATCTACTCGGACACCACTTCCCATCTCAACCGCACCTTTTGAATTTTCCCTCCTTTTTGCCATTTTTCAGGTTCGAAACCAGCTCGTGCCATTTATTTTTTATCTCAACTAAAAACCATAATTAATTGTAATATATTAATTGGTCAAGCGGACCACGAAATTAGTGAATTTAACGATTAATACTAACTTTTTAATTATTTTTATCAGCTTATTCTTTATTATATAATTACTCAATAAATTATACACAATTTTTTTCAAAATGAAAAATTTGTGTCACAGGCGGGATTCGAACCCACGACTTTCGGCTAAATACGCCGCTGCTCTACCATTATTAATTAATTATTAATCTAGAATCAATTCATTTCGAAAAAATTGTGTATGATTAATTGAGTAATTATATAATTAAGTAAGCTGATAAAAATAATTAAGAAGTTAATGTATTATTTATTGCATTAAATTTCTAATAATTTGTAACTCAAAAATCAAAAATATCAAGTTGAACGATAAATCATAGAGCGTGGCCAACCAAAAGGAATTTTGACAGATCACGTACTTTTCCCATAAAAAAGAGAAAAAATCATCTTTGTCTTATTATGCTTATTTGTGTGATGATTAGTGACCGTTAATCGATATTTATTTAGAAATCGTGAGATGCGGTCTGGTGTGATGTAGGTTTAAGAAAAACATTTTCTTTATCGTGCCATCGTTTCGATCTTTATTGAGATCATCTTCAGAGCCTGGGATTTACAAACATTGTTTAAATATAACAATTACATTTTGGATGTGGAAAAGTGAATTTATACAATACAAAATATATAAAATATATATTTTGCATTGTATAAATTCACTTTTCCACATCCAAAATGTAATTGTTATATGTAAACAATGTTTGTAAATCCCAGGCCCTGAAGATGATCTCAATAAAAGATCGAAACGTTAGCACGAAAAAGAAAATGTTTTTCTGAAACCTATATCCCACCAGACCGCATCTCACGATTTCTAAATAAATTATGCTTATTGACGGTTTGCTGAAAATTATACATTTAAATAATTGGCTGACCCACCAGAGTTAACATTTCTTAACGAATGTATGCACAGATGATAATCGGGCGCGCCACGACTCGCTGCTTCTGGACAGTTGGACAAAATTTTCCAGTGGAGGCTAGAAGCATTGTCGATACGAGGTTTCGCAAATTCTGACAGTTGCATTTCACTTTTCTTTCAGCACCGGTGCACCAATGGTGTTGATTATTATCCGAATAGGTGTCATGCCGTAATTTACCATCGATCCGTTGTATTCATACCATATTAAGTCGCGGCTTAGGGTGAGAGGCGAGAACCGTCGATTAAAAAACGTCAACATAAGCTTACCATATTTTCAATTTCGGTCATGGAACCGGGAGGAAATGACAAAAAGGAAACGGAAAGTCATCATCCGGACAGGAAACGACTACCGCCACTCAATACCAAGGCCGTTTATGAAGTTTTTCCCGAATACTTCATTATTTCCCTTCGAAATGAAGCCGCCAAGTAATAAAGCAGCATTAATATAAATTAGCCCAGAGTTGGAAATCAATATCCTGTAGATACCGTGACGTGCACAAATTTATTCCCCCCAATTGCTAAAATATATTGCAGCACTCGATACATTCTTGGATTATGGACAATAAACATAAAGCAGATGAAAACAGCCTAGTGGGACTAGGTCAACATACGCAACCTAAAAACCTTAATACGAATCCAGAATTACTGATGATCCAAAAATGAATTTTAGATAAGTTTAAAGCTCGAAGACAAAAGGAAAAAGTTAAATTGAGAGGTAGGAAGGAAGGGAACAAGTGAAGAAGAAAAAAGAGTGAAGGATGAAGAGAAAAAAAGGAAAGAAGAGAAAGTGATCGAGAACGTCAAGATTTGGAGGGGTGCTAAGAGGAAAAGCGTAGACATAGATAGTTTTAAGGTGAGAAAGACAGGAAGGAAATATAAAATAAATATATAAGTCAGCAAAAAATATAAGAATGTAAAGCTAAGATTTGAGAGAAAGGACTTTAGAAAGTGGAAATGAAGGAAAAGATTAACTAATAAGATTAAGTGATTAAGAATGTACCGAGGGGTTAGCGATTTAATAAGAGATATAGTGATTTAATAGAAGAACTGAGATACGAGAAGTGAATGAAAGAGAGAACGAGAAGAAAGA